TTTGGATCTGCGATATAAAAAAGTCTTGTCTCGGTCACGTGATGTGTCACGTGACCGGTCAGGTGAGCCTGTCAGCCGGGTCACGGCCCCTGTCAGCCGGCTGACATGTCACGGGCCTGCTGACACGGTCCGCTGACCGGTCACGGCCGCCCGGAGAGATCAGGCCCCCGGCCAATCTCCGGACACTTAGCCTCCTGGCGGGCCTCCAGGGGGTCTGAGGCGGGGCTGAAGGCTGCAGTCGGTCTACTGACCGGCCCGGCCGGCAGGATCCGTCGAGAAGCAGGGGGGTCAAGGGAGGTTTTCTTCCCCCTGGGAGAAATGTCCTATGGGTTTTTGGATCTGCGATATAAAAAAGTCTTGTCTCGGTCACGTGATGTGTCACGTGACCGGTCAGGTGAGCCTGTCAGCCGGGTCACGGCCCCTGTCAGCCGGCTGACATGTCACGGGCCTGCTGACACGGTCCGCTGACCGGTCACGGCCGCCCGGAGAGATCAGGCCCCCGGCCAATCTCCGGACACTTAGCCTCCTGGCGGGCCTCCAGGGGGTCTGAGGCGGGGCTGAAGGCTGCAGTCGGTCTACTGACCGGCCCGGCCGGCAGGATCCGTCGAGAAACAGGGGGGTCAAGGGAGGTTTTCTTCCCCCCGGGAGAAATGTCCGGTAGTATGGGTTTTTGGATCTGCGATATAAAAAAGTCTTGTCTCGGTCACGTGATGTGTCACGTGACCGGTCAGGTGAGCCTGTCAGCCGGGTCACGGCCCCTGTCAGCCGGCTGACATGTCACGGGCCTGCTGACACGGTCCGCTGACCGGTCACGGCCGCCCGGAGAGATCAGGCCCCCGGCCAATCTCCGGACACTTAGCCTCCTGGCGGGCCTCCAGGGGGTCTGAGGCGGGGCTGAAGGCTGCAGTCGGTCTACTGACCGGCCCGGCCGGCAGGATCCGTCGAGAAACAGGGGGGTCAAGGGAGGTTTTCTTCCCCCCGGGAGAAATGTCCGGTAGTATGGGTTTTTGGATCTGCGATATAAAAAAGTCTTGTCTCGGTCACGTGATGTGTCACGTGACCGGTCAGGTGAGCCTGTCAGCCGGGTCACGGCCCCTGTCAGCCGGCTGACATGTCACGGGCCTGCTGACACGGTCCGCTGACCGGTCACGGCCGCCCGGAGAGATCAGGCCCCCGGCCAATCTCCGGACACTTAGCCTCCTGGCGGGCCTCCAGGGGGTCTGAGGCGGGGCTGAAGGCTGCAGTCGGTCTACTGACCGGCCCGGCCGGCAGGATCCGTCGAGAAACAGGGGGGTCAAGGGAGGTTTTCTTCCCCCCGGGAGAAATGTCCGGTAGTATGGGTTTTTGGATCTGCGATATAAAAAGTCTTGTTCTCGGTCACGTGATGTGTCACGTGACCGGTCAGGTGAGCCTGTCAGCCGGGTCACGGCCCTGTCAGCCGGCTGACATGTCACGAGCCTGCTGACACGGTCCGCTGACCGGTCACGGCCGCCCGGAGAGATCAGGCCCCGGCCAATCTCCGGACACTTAGCCTCCTGGCGGGCCTCCAGGGGGTCTGAGGCGGGGCTGAAGGCTGCAGTCGGTCTACTGACCGGCCCGGCCGGCAGGATCCGTCGAGAAACAGGGGGGTCAAGGGAGGTTTTCTTCCCCCTGGGAGAAATGTCCTATGGGTTTTTGGATCTGCGATATAAAAAAGTCTTGTCTCGGTCACGTGATGTGTCACGTGACCGGTCAGGTGAGCCTGTCAGCCGGGTCACGGCCCCTGTCAGCCGGCTGACATGTCACGGGCCTGCTGACACGGTCCGCTGACCGGTCACGGCCGCCCGGAGAGATCAGGCCCCCGGCCAATCTCCGGACACTTAGCCTCCTGGCGGGCCTCCAGGGGGGCTGAGGCGGGGCTGAAGGCTGCAGTCGGTCTACTGACGGGCCCGGCCGGCAGGATCCGTCGAGAAACAGGGGGGTCAAGGGAGGTTTTCTTCCCCCTGGGAGAAATGTCCTATGGGTTTTTGGATCTGCGATATAAAAAAGTCTTGTCTCGGTCACGTGATGTGTCACGTGACCGGTCAGGTGAGCCTGTCAGCCGGGTCACGGCCCCTGTCAGCCGGCTGACATGTCACGGGCCTGCTGACACGGTCCGCTGACCGGTCACGGCCGCCCGGAGAGATCAGGCCCCCGGCCAATCTCCGGACACTTAGCCTCCTGGCGGGCCTCCAGGGGGTCTGAGGCGGGGCTGAAGGCTGCAGTCGGTCTACTGACGGGCCCGGCCGGCAGGATCCGTCGAGAAACAGGGGGGTCAAGGGAGGTTTTCTTCCCCCCGGGAGAAATGTCCGGTAGTATGGGTTTTTGGATCTGCGATATAAAAAAGTCTTGTCTCGGTCACGTGATGTGTCACGTGACCGGTCAGGTGAGCCTGTCAGCCGGGTCACGGCCCCTGTCAGCCGGCTGACATGTCACGGGCCTGCTGACACGGTCCGCTGACCGGTCACGGCCGCCCGGAGAGATCAGGCCCCCGGCCAATCTCCGGACACTTAGCCTCCTGGCGGGCCTCCAGGGGGTCTGAGGCGGGGCTGAAGGCTGCAGTCGGTCTACTGACGGGCCCGGCCGGCAGGATCCGTCGAGAAACAGGGGGGTCAAGGGAGGTTTTCTTCCCCCCGGGAGAAATGTCCGGTAGTATGGGTTTTTGGATCTGCGATATAAAAAAGTCTTGTCTCGGTCACGTGATGTGTCACGTGACCGGTCAGGTGAGCCTGTCAGCCGGGTCACGGCCCCTGTCAGCCGGCTGACATGTCACGGGCCTGATGACACGGTCCGCTGACCGGTCACGGCCGCCCGGAGAGATCAGGCCCCCGGCCAATCTCCGGACACTTAGCCTCCTGGCGGGCCTCCAGGGGGTCTGAGGCGGGGCTGAAGGCTGCAGTCGGTCTACTGACCGGCCCGGCCGGCAGGATCCGTCGAGAAACAGGGGGGTCAAGGGAGGTTTTCTTCCCCCCGGGAGAAATGTCCGGTAGTATGGGTTTTTGGATCTGCGATATAAAAAAGTCTTGTCTCGGTCACGTGATGTGTCACGTGACCGGTCAGGTGAGCCTGCCTCGACGTGCTCGCTGAGCTCCTCGTGATCTGGCTCTGCTCTCTCCACCATCTTGAGGATCGGCATTGCGGAGATCTCATCGAGCAGTGCTTCCGCCTCTGCCTCGAGATCCTCACCGAGCCCTGGCCCAAAGGTGGTGTTGGGATACACGATGCGGATGCCATCGTAGTCGAGGCTCAGGTTGGACGCGTGGTTTATTGCATCGGCAGGATGCATTTGTGAGCGTTGCAAAGACAAGGCTTTTATAGGTTAAGATTCTTTATTGCATGTTTAGGGCTCAGTGCAATCTAGAAGACAACGTCCAAGGAGAGGTTGAGCAAGCGCCCGACGTAGTCGTGCGTCGAGCGCTTGAAGCGCGCCGCGTTGGTCTGCGTGTAGAGCTCGAGGTAGCGCAGCAGCCACATGTTCTCTGTCGCAATGTCAATGCACCTGCGACGGTCCTCACTGGACAGCCCGGTGACGCCCTCGTAGGTCGTCTTGATGTGACGCTCGAGGTTCTCAACAAACTGTGCAGTCTGTGAGGCAGTGGGGTGCCTGGCATCGATCAGCGTGCGGGCAAGCCTGCGGAGGTTGTTGTGAAAAAGCATGGGCTTAGAGTCCATGGTCTGGTGGGTTGGGGGAGAGGGGAGGGGAGGGAGGGCTTATATAGACCCCAAGAGGGGGGGGGTCAGAGGGGGGATGGGGTCGATTACAAGTTTAATGCATCTTGTATCAACGGTGTATCGCTCAGTGCTTCGTCTTCTTCTGCTTTCCTGGGGATGCGATTCGCATGAGATTCTGGTGGATCGCACGCACGTTTTGCTTATTCTCCCTGTCGGAGAGCGCGGAGATCAGATTCCTGCACTGCGAATGGCACGAATCGATGAGCTCCTTGGTGTTGGGTGCATGCTGTAGCTTGTCGCTCAACTTCTTTGCATTCCTCAGGTTCCTTGCCGTGATACCAGCGTTGATCAACTCGTCCTGATCACCATGCCTCGACACAATGTCGAGCTTCCTGGCGATATCTTCCAGTGTCTGCCTCATATCGATAGGTTCAGACATGATTCTGTAGTGCTTGTGTGTTGCTACGCGGTATTAAATACGATGCAGCGCCGAGTGATATAAGGGTGGAAGAGAACGGCTGGTGTGCGCGTTGGCTCTGACACTGTCTGTTTTGCAGATTGGCACAACCAAGGGCACGGGCGGGGATTGCCTGATCTTGGAGGAGGCAGCCTACTGCGATTCGACCTTTTTCTATGAGACCGTCGCGCCAATCCTATCGATTGGCAGCACCTCCCTGCTCTGCATCTCCACGCTCACCTCCGAAATCAATTTCTACACGAGGCTGATCAAGATGCGCGATCCCGACACTGGCCGCCCGCTCTTTGCCGTCAAGTGCATCGAGCTCGCTTGCCAGCAGTGCAAGGAAGACGGGAAGAGCCATGAGTGTGTGCACATGCTGCATCTCGTTCCGCAGTGGCAGAGCGGGGAGAGGCACAGGAGGCTGAAGGTGGTGATGCAAGACAGGCCCGACCTCATCCAGTCGGAGCTGGCGGGGCTGGCGTTCGATTCTTTGCAGCAGGCGTTCAGGGTGAAGGACATCGAGGCCATGCTGTCGCAGCAGGCGCCCCCGTTTGTTAGCAACCAGAACATCTACCTGGTGGTGGACCCAGCGACGGGTGGCCCGCAGAGTGACTACGCGGTGGTGAGCATCGTGAGGCACAAGGGGTTGATCACGGTAAGTGCAGGGATGTGTGCGTGTTTTATTCTTGCAAACACCAGTGGGATTTCCTTTGCGCGATTCCGCAGGGTTACCAAAGGATGTGTCTGAGGGTGTACTTTTCAAACACATATATCGTGAATCCGATACAGTGCTTCACAACGAAGGTGACAACCATCCAGGCAGCATCTTGGACCTTGCTCATTGTGCTCTTGCGCACGGGGATGTTGTTGGCCAGTGCGAGGAGCTTGATGAAATCACCGTACGTCGGATCCTGGACCATGTGCTCAGGCATGTACCTATGCTGTTGTTGCATGAGGTGCAGGGCATTGATGATGCACACTGGGACCTTGCCGTTTGACGGCATCGTGAAGGTGTTCAGCTCCGAGATAGTCTGGAAAACCTCAGGCTTCAGGTCAACTCCATGTCGATACATATCGAGATAGAGAAGGATTTCGTCGAGGTCCTTGCAGAGTTCCGAGCACTGGGCATCATCCTCGTGCTTCTTCAGTTCGAGCACCAACTCTTGCCATGTGCCCTGGTGTTTGATCATCGTTTCCCAGATCATGGTCTTCTCGGGGATGTTGAAGCTGGTGCAGGAAGCGACGATCAACAGGACCACCTTAGTGTCGTGAATCAGTGGCTGAAGGTCAGCATTGCAGATACTCTCCCTGTTGTACTCCAGGTGGAGCACAACCTTGCAAATGTCACGTTCTGCATCGTCAATGGTGCTCGCAAGAAAGGACGTGAAGTCTTTCAGACCCGATATCATGGTTAACTGAATCGGGTCTGCAAGTTTAAATACCAGGCGTTGCCATGCTCATGAGCATTGATACATCTCCTGGATCTCCTGCTCGAAGGTGATGGTGGTCTTGAGTTCGTCTCGGAGGAAGTTTGGGATCACAGTGCTGTCGATCGCCTTGAAAAACACGGGGGCCTTGTATCCGCAGAGGGGTTGGAGGGTGACGTCGGCTTCCTCGATGACGTAGGGCTTTGTGAATGTCTCCTTGAGACCCATGTCAACGTTGAGCAGCAAGATCAGCACACACCGCGCCATGTGCTCGTTCCTGCTGGCGATGTCGAGCAATTTGGAGGGGAGCGGGTCTTTCAATATGTTGGCAAGCCTCTGTGCAGATTCCCGGCAGAGCTTCATTGTTGTCTTCATGTCGTTGTTGTAGAGGATATGGAAGAGGATGTCTCTCTGTGGCACTGACATTCTTGCCGTTGCAGATTGTCGGGATGGACGTCCTCTCCGGATGCAAGGGTGAACGCTTCCTTTTGATGCATTTTTTAACCTCTTGCACTGCAGAGCCAGACAAGCAGTTCGATCTCCTCGCCGAGCACATGCAGCGCCTGAGGGATTGCAACACGGCCTTTGTGGTATCCGAGATCATTGTCATGGTGGAGCGGAACCTTGGGTTCGAGGCGGAGTATCACCAGCGCCATTTCAACGGCATGAAGAATGTGAGATTCAGGGTTGACCACAAGGCCCAGCGCTACGGCGTCCTCACCACGCATGAGATCAAGCATGCGATGTGCACGATGCTGAACTCACTGCTGAGGGAGGGGAGGGTGCATCTCTGGGAGAATTTCGTGAGCCGCGATCCGAGGGGCATGAAGCGTCGGCTTCGCGAGCAGCTGGAGATCTACTCCTACCAGTTCAAGAGCGCGGCCAGTGTGTTCAACAAGGATCAGATGGCGCTCAGTGGAAAGGTGGGAGGCATGAAGGATGACGTCTGCATCGCACTGCAGCTTGCGTGCTATTACAGCTCGAACCCAGAGTTTTACGCGTAGATTTATTCAATTCGAGTTCAATATACTCCATGCCTTGAAGAATTCCATGCATTGGTGTGCGTCGAAGTGCTCCATGATCGCCTCCAGTATGAATGGTCTCAATATGTCCTGGTTGTTGTTGCAATTCTCGTAGATGCATTGCAGGAACCCGCCGATGGCATCCCGCAGGTGTATATCGTTCTGGATGCATGCCTTGCAGATCTTGACAAACACCATCGTCAGTGCGTAGAAGTCCGTGGCCTCCAGGTCGTGGTAGGTGAAGGCATTGGCCCTGCACACGATGGGATAATCCATGGTGTTCTTGGTCATGCAGGATATCTTGAGCTTGATGGATTCGGGGCAAAGGGTCGGATTGGGCAGGTGGGATATTGTCCCGTCCTTGTTGTAAGCCTTGGGGTGGAGCTTGGGGATGAAAGCATTCCCCCAGTCGATGAGATAAGCAGAGCCATCCTCGTTGATGACGATGTTGTGGTTTCGGATGTCGTGTGATAGACCGAGAGGGAGTGCAGGCGGGCCAGTTGGCGGCAGATCCTCTGGAAGCTCTCTACTAGCTTCTCCCGCATGTGAGGTTGATAGAATGAGATGAAACGCGGTGTCGGCACCCCGAGGTAGGGGAGGATGGCGTACATGATTCGGTTGTATTCCTTCTTTAACATCCCAAATCCCGACCAGGTGCCAATGTGGTCCCTCTCTCTGTAGTCAGAGAGTTGATCGAGAAGGTATCGGTTGATCTGGGTCTCTTCCATGAAGAGCGTTGGGCTTGAAAAGAGCTTGATCACCAAGGCATGCCCCTCCTGCTTGGCAAGGAAGCACTTCCCGGAGACCCCCTCCCCGAGGTAGAAGAAGCGGATGCCTCTGAGATCCCGCATCTGCCTGCTGTGGCGGACAACCTCGAGCAGTATGGTGTATGTCTTCTTGGTGTTGTGGAGCTCCGTGTGGCGTATGCGTGGGAGGGGGATGGATTCGGACATTCGATGGAAGCCCCCCACGTGCGGTCCCCTTTTAAAGGCCCCTCCCCTGTGGTTGACTAATTCTAATATCTAGTTTTAATCTATGTGTCATTATGACTGTCGCGATGATGAGCTTCAGTACCTCCCTCAGGAGGAATACCGGGAAGCTCACGAGGAGGCCTATGACGTAGAGGAGGAAGAATATGATGATGTAGATTGGTATGACCCGCCAGATATTCAGCGTGCCGCAAACCAATTGTGCGTTGATCATGTCTTCTTGGTATGCATCGATGATGGCTGCCTTGACAGATATGTGCCGGTTGAGCGAGGTGAACTGAACCGCGGCCGGGAATCCAGCGATGGACGCCCCCAGAGACCTGCAGAGGTCGGTAGAGATGAAGCAAGTCCACCATGCGATCTCGGATTCCCACGTGTTGAATTCAAACGGCGCGTCGCTGCAAGGGATGATGCATGCCTCCCTATTGACCACCGCCGGGTCGTTGAGGCACCCCGGTGAGGTCTGCAGGCTGTCGGGGAAGCGGAAGGACGAGGGGAAGAACACGTTGGCAATATCCACAAAGTCCTGAATGAAGCACGTCGGGATCATCGGTGCGCAGAAGGGGGAGACACCAAAGGCGTAGTAGCTGGTGATGACTGGGTACGTGCCCCAGAGGAATGTGCTCACGTAGGGGATCTGGAAGGCAGTGATCACCGCAGTGGTCCCCGCGAGCAGTATCCCTACGACGATGCCGGAGACCAGCAGTGTGTACTTGTGCTTGGAGCACAGCATCACGGCCGACCGGTCGCACCGGAGGAAGTCTTGCAGGAATCCAGGCGATGCCATGAGCGCATTGTAGAAGAACTGCCGATTGAACGGCGTGTGCTCCAGCGCGGATACGACAGTGAAGACCATCGTCGAGATCCAATCCCCGTTGACGGGCCTCTGCAGCGGTGGCACAGTCTTGGTCTGCGGCAGGCCGCTTAGGGGCCAGCTGCCTGAAACCACCTTGCGGGGGCTGGCGGCGAGGAGGGAGCCCTGGGTGTAGAAGAGTGTGACGTTGCCAAAGGCGTTCCTCGTCAGCGTCAGTGTGTTGGACAGCAGCGCACACGACCCGAGGGTCTGCGGGATGTCGTAATTCACGGGCCATGCAAAGGGGCTGTCCACCCAGGCGTTGCTGGTCGCCGCCCCAACTGGCTCGACGATGCCGTCATTCAGGGAGGTGGAGGCGGTGAACCGCTTCACCTCGCTCCTCTGTGTCTGCCATGAGGTCTGCAGCAGGTGCCTGCCGATGGATGCGTTGGTGATGTTCTCGAGGAGGTGCATGGCAAAGGGCCCCTCGGCAGCGATGCTGAGGATGTGCTTCATCGCCAGCTGGTTCTGGATCGCCAGCGGGCCGTCTACCCCCGAGCGGTTGAAGTGGGAGGAGAGGCCGTGGAGGATGTTGAGGAGGAGGAGCGTCGTCTCGCTGATGTTGTCACCGTGGATGTACATCCCGCCGTCGATATCTATGCGATAATGAAGGCTGTTGTTCCTCTTCGTGCCGTGGATTGCGATCTCGTAGTAGAGGTCGTGGAACACCCTCGTCCACACGTGGTAATAGCGGTGCAAGCGCTGGAAGATGCTGGTCTGCATGCCAAGCTCCAGCACGAGGGTGGGATTGTACAGCAGCAGCAGGAGGGCGGTGGGATCATTCCCTATGGTCTCCATCAGGTCGGTGAGGCTCACGAACATGTTGGGAGGGATGCGATCCTCGATGCCGTGCCGCCTTGCAACATCGTAGGTTGCAGCGAACCTGGTGATGCAAGAGACAAACACGCGGGTGGTGCGGTTGGAGAGGAGGTATTCGTCGTAGGCGTCCATGCAGGTGGCGTCGTGGCTGTAGAACTCTGGGGAGTCCAAACCGAGGAGGCGGCGGCCGTAAGGGCCCGAGGCGCCGGCGCCAGACATGCCGCTGATGCCAATGGAGACGAGCATCGGTGCAAAGCTGAAGAACGAGCTGAACACGCTGTAGCAATACACCTGGTCGTAGTTGCTGTTGTAGCAAGGTGTGGCGAGGAGGTTGTTGTAGCTTATCGTGTAGGTTGCGCTGGAGGATGCCGAGAACCCACCCATGGAGGTGGTCACCTGCGCAAGGCAGAGGCCGGAGAGCTTCGGTGCCACCGCCTTGGTGACATCGCTGTTGGAGCAGCCCTGTGGGTCCACCCGCGTGAGGAAGCAAGAGCAAGAGCCGTAGGTCTTCCCGGGTTGCAGGATGCACATCGGCTGCGTTGTGCACTGTGCACACGGGATGTTTCCAAAGGTCGGCTGTATGTCGCTGTTCATGAAGACGCAGGTGGCATCGATCTGGTTGACACACTGCTCGTGCGTCATGCACGGCGTCTCGTAGGTCTGCATCACGTTGCACATGCACTGTTTCCGTATGGGATCGCACCCGTACCTTGCCACCGTGCTGGTGGATCCGCCGTAGGGGCATGCGTCGCACACCATCGTGTCCGACCCGCTCGAGGCCGTGGCGCGAAGGCAGGTGTCCGAGGCGGAGCAGGAGAGGCGGGCCCCGTCGCTCACGCTGGTGATGTAGCTGGCCCAGCAGCGGGTGGGCGTCGGCAGGGTTCCATCTTCCGCCTGCGGTGGGAAGGCATTCCCAATGTCACATTTGAGGACATTCCTGGCATTGCAATCGATGGACTTGAGCTTGTTCCCGACATCCAGGTATATCTGGTAGACGATCCAGGTGAAGGGCTTGATCCCGATGATGCTGATGTCATGGATTGTCTTGAGGGCATTCCCGATGCCCGTACACACGTCACCTACAAAGTGCAGGATGGGGCAGATGACAGGGAAGAAAAAATTGTTCAGGAACCAGTTGATGATGGTGCAGATGATCTTGATGATCTTCATGAGCTGATCCCCAAAGGGAGCGGAGCGTATGAGCTCAAACACCATGTTCCCGATCTGCTCAAACAGCACCCTTGCCTCGTTGATGAACATGTTGAACCAATGCATCACCTGTGGCATGACCTGATCGGAGTTGATGCCTAGCAGCAGCTGCATGAAGTTGAACCCCATCATCCCTGCGTAGAAGACGAGCTTGACAATGGTCTGAACGATCTGCCTCAGATCCCCAAACAGCTTGTAGATAGGGACAAGAAACTCTGCCGCGCACTGCTTCTTCATGTTGTTGTTCTGTGCGATCACCGCCTGAATCTCCTGTGTGGTGTAGACCGAGGAGCACGCCTCGCTGCTCACCGACTGGTAGAAGTCCAGCACCGTCTGCGTCACAAAGGCCTGGTTGGATATGCTGTAGGCCGACGGGTTGTAGAGGAAGCGTGATTCAACGCACACCCCCGCGGCCTTGCAGTTGGCAGCCTGTATCCTCTGCAGGAGGCTTGCGACGTGCGTTGAGAGGTTGTTCATCGTAGAGTCGAGCGTCCATATGCGTATGGGGATCATCGTGCTGGTGGTTGGGGCCGCGGACATGGCATCGCGGCACGCACCGAAGCGCTGCTTAGGGTCAAGCCAGGTCTCTTTCGGGATGGATCCGTAGCACTTCCTGTTGGAGTAGGGTTTGGAGTACCGGTCGCTGTCGGAGCAGAAGACCCATTCCCTGTCCCAGAACTTGCTGTCATTCACGGGATTGGGCGGCGCCGGGGTGGAGATGGAGGCGCTGCTTTGTATCTGGAAGAGCGAGGTGAAATCCTGCAGGTAGGCCTGCAGGAAGCTGTCGACGGTCCACTTGCTCGGGTCGATGGCGTTGTCGAGCAACGGGCAATCGATGGAATTGCCACAGATCTGCCTTCGGAGGTCCTGTGCCATCGTGCGGGAGAGGGAGAGCCTCACGGGAACCCCAAAGCTTGTGAATTGTCTCATGCTGCTGGATACGGGGTTCCTGGCGTTGTCGGTTCTGTCGACGTAGGATCTGAGCTGTGGCGAGGGCTGGCACTCCTGGAATGTCCTCCTATGGTTGGCCTGGAATTGCGTGACAAAGTCCGTTGGGGATGGAACGTCGAGGGCGTGCAAGGAAGTGCTCGTCACTGGCTTCCCCGCGATGAGGGCTGTGGTGCTGCACTCGAGGTGTGAGAAGTTGTACCGGTGGCATCTCCCCCCGATGGGAACGGTGCTTGGGACGCGGACGAGGCGCCCTGTGTGGCATTCCCCTCCCGCGTCCAGGGTGGTGATGCCGGCATCCGCCGTGATGCTCACAGGGAGATACCTGAGCTGGAACTCCCTGAGACGATCGTGGACGGGGCAGTCTGTGTTCTGTGCCGCACTCCCTAGGTCGGTGCCGTCGCGGAGGACGCCCTTGGTGTTGGGCCAGTCAAGGCTCCGCTTGCATCCCTGCGTTCCCGCGTAGCTCTGCTTGGTCTTCCATTGGTTCCCCGTGAGGAGATCGACCGTCTGGTACAGCCCACAGCTGCTCGCCGTGTCGGTGGTGAGGAAGGAGCAGTCCGACTTCGAGGAGCAGCTGCAGATCTCGCTCACGAAGAATGGGTCTGCGAGGTCTGGGATCGTGGTTCCAAAGGGCTGCATGGGGTTGGACATCCCGTTCCCTACCGTGCCGCCCATCTGGTTGGTCTCCGAGAACATCGTCGCTGCACGGGGCCCGTAGGGTGCCTTGGGGCGGAAGGACTGCGACGATCCTCCCCAGTAGTGCATCTCCCTCACAGGGCAGTCCCAGGATACCGCCCCGTTCTGCGATGCGCTGCCAAGCTCGGCCGCATTCAGATCGTAATCCGAGCGGGAATCGATGGCGTAGGTCTTAAGCCAATCGAGGTTGTTGGATGCGCATGGGTCGATCCCTGGGGTGCTCGGGGAGGTATCCGCATTGGTTGCATAGGCAAGGGGCAGGCATTTCGGCAGCAGGTTGTGCGTGACGCCGTCGGGCAGCGGGGCGAGGTCGGCGACGAGGAGCGACCCCCCGATGTCCATCTGCGACTGCTTCAGGATGCCAAACTGTGGCGAGCGGGCCTGGAATGCAGGGTTTGGATTCGAGCCAAAGATGCCCGAGTAAGGCATGGAGGTGGCCGGGCGTGTATAGAGATCCTCCATCGTCGTCCCGGACCCGCCGCCAAAGCTTCCCTGCTCGTGCAGGCAGGTTGTGTTGACGCGAATCCCGCGGTTGCAGAGATTGTTGCCTGCAGTGCTCAGGATGTCGATGCGGGATGGGGGCTGGTTGTTCTTTGTGATGCACTGGGCATAGACCAGGGAGTTGTACTCCGTGCAGGCGGAGATCCCGGTCTTGCAACCCCCGCTGATGACGGTGCTGAACTCATTGGGGAGCACCACCGTGTCGCAGGCATCCCTGATGTTGAAGCCCCCGCCCAGCCATGGGTTGAGCGAGAGCACGTAGCCGTCGAAGGTCCTGTAGCAAACGGCCTCGGATTGCAGCGTCTCCTCGCAGCGCATATCGCTCAGCACCCAATCGAGGTATTGATCTCGCGACGGCCTCGCAGCCTTGGCCCAGTGCAGGCTGTGCATCGAGGTCACCTGTGCAGCCGTGAGCTTGGTTAGCACGGATTGCTCGAGGTCAGCGACGCTTGCAGACTTCCGCTTGTACTGCGCAAGGCACGACTTGAGGCTCTCCCTGTGTGACGCCGGTGTGCATTCGGTGGTCTTGACAATCTGGTTGATGCACTTGTCGAGGGGTTGGAGACGCATGGTCTCGGCCTGTGCCCTGTAGCTGTTCAGCTCGTAGAGGTTCAGCGTTGTGTCGGGATACTTGCTGTTGGTGTCCATGAATGAAAGGCTGAGGAAATCCGGCGTTATCCACAGCTGGTTGTACAGGTCGGAAGGGAGAAGGCCGTTGCCAGACGTGATCTGCCTTGACACAAGAAAGTGCATGAGCCGGAATGCATCCTTCTGTGTATACCCATTGGCCGCTGAGCTCTGCCCTGTGAGGCCGATGTAGTTCCTGTCAGAGCTTGTGAAGCCAAGAACGGATTCGTCGATCCTCCTGTAGCGGTACAGGTGTTTTCCGATATACTTGAGCAACGGCACGCGGGCGCAGTCACTCTTGCAGATCCAGAGGTTGTTCATGATCTCTGCCAATACGCTCTGATTCACCGACCTCAGCGGGCACTTGGAGAGCGCGTCCGTCGCGCTGCTGGCACAGAAGATCTCCGTTGCATTCTGCAGATGCAGGGCAATGGCATGCACGAGGCTGTTGTCGCGGGCAACATTGCAGACCTTGCCAGGGCAGGGGCTCACCGATCCCAGGCTCGTAGAGCAAGAATCGGTGCTGCAGCGTGTAGAGACCCCAGTGGGTCTTGCCCCGTACCGGCTCCAGATGGCCTCGTTGGAGAGGACGGCGAAGTTGGGCTGCTGCCCCGTCCCGGCATACCATGAGTTCAGCGTGCTCTGCACCGAACCCACCGTCTCCGCATCCCAGCCCGTCCATGACAGCAGGTGGCTCTTGTTCACCCCCGTGACATTGAAGCAGTCGACCCAGGCAGGGTACCATCTCGTGCTCGTCCTGGGGTATTCCACAGAGTAGAACTCGTCCGCATTGGGATCGCGGCTCCCCGCCGTCCCGTCGCGATAGAACACGTAGATGTCAACACCCCTGACGGACTGCACAAGGTCGACGGGGGTAGAGAACCCGCCGAGCGACTGGCTGTCTCGCAGGCAGGTGGAGTCGGTGCGCAAGCAGATGTCGCCAGCTGGGTTGGTGACGTCGAGATCAATGGTTGTGAACTGCACCGAGGCCAGCGATGGGTTGACGGCGCTTTGTATGTCCCGCACAAAGAGGAACTGCTTGCAATGCGTCTGCATTGAGATGTTATTCCCACCATTCACCCCTGGGGCGTTGAGGTACGTGTTGGTGCACCTGTCATCCTGCGAAGCATGAAGCAAATCGCAGGACTGCCCCGTGCGTTGGTCGTAGGATGGGGTTGGATTGCAGACATTGATGGAACGGCAGTTCTGCGCAGAGTCACACAGTCGCACCTCGGGATCCTGATCCAGGTTCTTGGTGATCCCAGGCTCGTAACCGGGGAAGTTGCTGTACAGGCATGCGGTGGTTTGCAGCGTGTTGTCCCGTATGAGGCTCTGATACCTTCGGAACAGTGCACCGTTGTATTGCACGTCTCCGTAGGTAAAATCCTCCAGCGGCTCATCTTCACGCAGCACGGAGGACAGGATCGAGTCGAGCTCCGAGTCTAGGAATCGCCGGAAGATATTCGGGAAGTTGTACTGCAGGATGCCGCTGGTGGCATCGAAGTACTGCTTGTCTCGCGAGAGGAAGTCTGTCGCGAAATCCGCCCTCTGGAATGCCAGGTTTGCCCTCGCCGTGCGGTTCACCCCCGAGTTGGCAGCGGCGTATCCCAGGTTGATGTCACCGCTGAGGATGAAGTGCAGGACCTGGGTGAGCAGCGCTGGGATTCCGTCGTCGGCTGGGAGCCCGCCGTCGTCCTGATAGACAGGGTCCGTGTTGGTGATCTTGGTGCTGTCCGAGATGACATCGCTCGAGGTGGTGTATTGGTTGTACGCCCAATCGTGGTTGTAACGGCTCTGGAGCTTGCGCAGCTGCACGTAAGTCAGGTTGATGTACTCAGGGTGCGAGGAATAGCCCATCGCTGCCGTGACGTCGGCCTGCGCCTGCAGCAGCTTCGAGTACAGCGTGTCGTAGATGCTGAGGGCAATCTGGTCTTGGTTCACCACCGCCCGCCTCGATGATTGCAGGTACAGCGCATTGGCCATCATCAGGAATTGCCTCACCGTCGACGGTTGATAGCCCGCGGTGTGTGAGTTCTTCCAGCCCGCACAGGGCACTTGATCGATGTTGCCGGCGATCATGCCGTCGATGTTCACGTCGCCGTCTAGAATGACGCACTGCGCCCACCACTTCATCGGGATCTCCATCTGTGAGGCGTCATCATAAAAGTACAGCGTCATGTAGGGGTAGAAGTAGGTGGGTACCCCGGGCTCGAACTCGTATGCATACCACTGTGTTGCCTCGTTGGTTGATTCGGACTGCGCGTAGAGCGACATCGTATTGTACACATTCGCGATGCACACTGCCTGCTGCTGGTACTCCTCCCAGGTGTTGAAACCTCGCTTGAAACCACGGAGCAGGATATCATTCAACGCGCTTGCCACCTTGTTCCGGTCTGCCAATGCATAGCTGTATTTGTAGTAGCGGCAGAGGGTGCCTACTGCCTGCTCGTTGATGTACGAAGGATTGAACTGACAGGAGGCCTTGAGGACGTCGTAGTCCTCGCATAGCATGCGCGCGATGGGGTTTGTCAATGGGTCCATACGGCATGGGACCCCATCCGTCAGGGTTGTGGAGGAGGTTGACAGATCCACAAGATATCCGGCACTGCCGCAATACAGTGCGTCCTGCAGGGTGTAGGCATCCCTCCTCGTCCCAAGATTCTGCAGGTTGAGCCTGTTGATCAATCTGCCCTGCATCTTGTATCCCATGACATAGAAGTCCTGCAAGAAGCAGATCTGCAGTTCGGAGCACATGGAGAGGGAGAGGGATATGTTCCCAAAGGAGTCCTCACGGTTGTACCCCTGGTAAGGGGCCAGGAATCCCGTCCTCTTCCTCTCCAGGCTGCCGAGCTTGCAGAGCTGCAGGGACCACTTGTTGTCACCCGACGAGACCCAGGTCCTGGTAGTCTCCCCCTGTGCCTCCACCGGCAAGGGGATCCCAAGGCTGTCAACAGTAGTGGATGGATTGCCGACACAGGATGGGAACTGGAACTGGTAGTCCATATCGCAGGTGTGAGGCTCCATCTGCAGGATCCCGCGGTCGAACATGTCGAGCCGTATCTGCGCGTCGGTGAGGTATGGGTCTGTGCTGGGCCATTGGATGTCATCGGGGATATTTGCCAGCGTCGCTGTTGCAGCACCCGCAACCCCGGAGCGGGCGATCAGCTGCTCGTACTCGAACCAGGAGCGGAAGCCGCAGAGCCCGTGCCGGGAGAGGAAGTCCTGCGAGTTCTGCCAGGGTGAATGACCGAGGGTCTCCGTGCCGCATGCCTCCGAATTGACATGCATCTCCACGGGCCACGGGGCGTAGTTCCGCAGCATGACGTGCGGGTCTACACAGGTTCCCATGCCGGTGCAGACCCTTCCGGCGGCACCGCAATGATAATTCTGGTAGCATTCCATTGCCAATGCATTCTGCACTACGCACACCCCGTCCATCTCCTTCCCCTCCGCGTCCGACCATGCCCTCAGGCACTTGAAACCCTCCCCATAGAGTGAGACGCAGTCCCCGTCCGCGGTGCAGGTAAAGAAGTCGGTCTGGCCGCAGTCCCCGTTCCATCCCACCGCCGTGTGATTGGGGAGGCGGTAGCGCTGCAAGTCGGTGCTTGACTGGGGCCAGGATACCGCTGGGAGCATGCCTGGCCACCAGCGGTAGAGCATGCCCGACGATGGGAAGGATTGGTCCGACTGCCGGCCGTTGCTTGGGACATCGCTCCAGCTCGTTGCAGCCGTGGACTGCACAAAGGTGCCAGAGGGGGCGGTGTCTGCCTTGATGGGCTGTGTGGGATCCATCCTCTGCCCGCTGGTCCATCGGCTTTGGAGCCTCACGTTGTTGGTCTCCCACATGGGCATGCCGTAGGATGCCGAGCTGCAGGTGGAGGCGGCACCAAAGTAATTGCGAAGCAGCGTCTCGTTCTGCAGTCTCCGCGTGTCGAGCACGAGGTAGCGCTCGTCGGTGGCAGTGTCATAGTCGACGGACATCCAGGTGTCGAACGCCCTGTATGCCGTCTCCGTGTGCCGGCAGCCGGTGGTGACATGGTAACCCGTCGGGTGGATCCAGTGGCTTGGCCAGTAGTCGAGGAGGGCATCGGCGTGCTCGTTGCTCCCCAGCGCCGTCCCTGCTAGGAGGCCCTCCCCGAGCCTTCCACCGAGGATCGACACCGTCTGCAGGTTGCGCCTGTCGTTGAGAGTCATCTGGAAGGTGTCGATATACTGCTGCTCGTAGGTGTTGATGCTGGATGCGAGGGTCTGCATGTCCGAAGCGGATAGACCTGTGTTCTGCAGCTCCTCGCTCGGAACCACTGTTGGCACGGTCATGGTGGACAGGCGCATGTCGTCGTCGTCGAGGGTGCGCGGATCGATGGGGAGCTGGCAGGTGCCGGTGGTGTCGGACCAGGTGTATCCCTTGCATGCCACACCCTGCAGGCTTGCACAGAGGCACGGGTCGTGGAAGACCCCGTCGCAGTACACAAGGCAGTCCGAGGTTGCGTAGGCATTGGTGCAGCTCACAGAATGAGAATAGGGGCACTTGGAGCTGTCAAAGGTGGCGGAGAGGCCGCCAGATGGCACAATGTCGTAGATCCCATGCAGATTGCAGAGCGAGACAAGCCGCACCTGTGTCACGCATCGCAGCCTCCAGAGATCCACCGTTGTCCTCTGTGATCCTATCTCTGGGTTCGGTGTGGTGGATTGATAGATGGCGTCTACGTGGAGCAGGGCCTCCAGCCGTGCCAGCTCCAGCACGAACCTTGAGCAGAACGCCTCGGTGGACGAGGAGTGAACCGTCCTCGCCATGGGCATCAGATGATCGCGGAAGTGTGCATCCACCCTTGCCAGGTCCTTGACGTAGTCCTTGAACCCATTGCTGGAGTGATCGCTGTTGGTGTCATCGATGCAATCCTCGATGGCAGCACTGGTGTCGGTGTCTGCATTGTACAGTTTGTGCTTTCGGGACGAGGGATTGAGGAACTCCGGGTAGTTCTGCTGTAGGTAATCCATGTTGGCAAGCCTCAACCCAGATGTGCCATGCGTGAGGAGGTCCGCCCAGTCAAAGTCGTAACCCCCCAAGAGGGAGCCCTGCACTCCCACGGCCCACTTGTCCACCTTGGTATCGCTCACAATTCCCCATACATCCGACAGCTGCATATCCGTGCAGACCCAGGTGGGCATCCACACGGCTTCCATCGTACGGTAAACCGCCAACCACTGCGAGAAGGTGGAATAGGACCCTGCAGAGCAGATCGAGTAGAATTCCTGTATTGTTGCGGCGTCCAGAGCGGTCCCCTGCAAAGACGCCGTCTGGCAAACACCCGTGGGAACAGAGCAGCTTGTGCCGTCTGTGGATTTCCAACCGCAGTAGCAGCGGGTGGTGAAAGAGGACAGGTTCAGCCCGTAGGCCCCGTACGATGCCGTCTGCATACCCGTGAGATGAGGGGGCATCGTGTAGGATGTCCCGCTGGCATCCAGGGTGATGCGGTTGCCCGAGGCCGAGGGGAGGATGTCATAGGCGACGGGCCTTACCGTGGATTGGGAGTCCCTGCATCGCTGGCTCTTGGATGGCATGTACCTCACATCCCCTCCCCTGAATCCGTGATAGAACGGCGACTCTGCCTTGGCCTTGGAGAGCAGCGTCTGCACCGTCTCCTCGATGCCGTCAACGTATCCCGAGGAGGGGGTCGCCGTGGCATCGTGCTGGTAGGCGCTGTAGATGGTGTCAAGTGCAAGCCCGTCCAGCGTGCTGTTGAGGGGGAGGACGGCAAAGGTCTGCGAGAGAACGTTGGTGCACACCTGCCAGAGGTTCTGCGACGATTTCGGGTCGAGTATGTCCTCCGTGTCGTACCGGAGGATGGGTTTCGAGGTGTCAAACAGGGACTCATCCTTGGCCTGCGTCTTCTGGCTCTCCGTGAGGTTGGAGGAGTATTCATTGAACATTGTCACATTGGTGTAGATGTCGATGATGTGCTGGTTGATCTTCTCGTAGATGCCCGAGAGCACATCCTCCGTCTCTAGGATGTCAAAGTTGATGCCCTGGATGTCCTTCGAAGTCCAGAGGTCCGGCTCGTTGGCCTTGCAGCAACGGAGGTTGTTCGTTCCGTCTCCGCACTGGCAGCCAAACAGGAGGGTGTTTGTGAGGACATCGCGGAATTGCCTCAGCTTCGCCCTCACCCCATTCTGCACGGCCTGTCGGAGCAGGTTGTTGCTGCTATCGGTGTTGAATCTCTTCAGCGTCTGGATGAAGCTGTGGATGATTGCCATCCTTCCCGGCCCGCCGCAGGAGAAGGGGGAGACCTGCGGGCAGCATGCGTCTTGGGCGGGGTCGCAGCCTGCCGATGGAATCTGGAATGTGCGATCCAGGGTGGAGGATCGGTAGTACTGAAGGACCTGAAGCGAGCGCGATCCGCCCGACGGCCAGAGCTCGGCTGCGGAGAACGGCCCTAGGAAGTAACAGTCGAAGAGCTGGTGGATGACATCCCCCTCCATTGAGAAGAAGTTGAGGTCCAGCTCTGTGTTGGACCAGCCCAGCACCTCGGGTGTGAATAGCGCCCTGGCCTCCGCCGCCACCGCATCGTACTCGTCCTGAACGGACTGGTACAGGGCCTGCGATCCGGGCACGTAGCTCACCGCATGCAGCGAGGCGATCGGGACGCGGTTGCTCGTCCTCCCCGACCAGATGTATTGCGGGAGCTGGCACTGTGAGGAGAGCGAGGTGCTCAGGCACTGGCTGAACTCGTGGGCAATCGCCGGATTGGGGTTCTGTGCCGGACCCGTGAAGACCTCGCAGCCATCGATGTCTGCATAGTCCGCATTGTCGGAGGAGAAGCTTGCGATGCTATACAGGAAGTAATTCACACGGCTTGTGTTCATCAGGGTGAGGTAGCCGAGGAGGCAGGCATCCGTTCCGGTTCCCACGCGCACGGACTCGGAGAAGCAATTCAGCACCGATTGCTGGATGAATGAGGGGTTGTACACATTGTCGATGATGAATCCAAGGTTTTGCAGGTCTGGATAGAGCTTGTAGTTGGAGATGTAGGCAGCCCCCGTGTCCCACACCTTGTTGGCAAAGTTGGATCGGCAGCGCGTGAGCACCGTCCCTGCATCGATCCCCTGACGCTCTAACAAGGGGAGCGTTGGGCGGTAGGTGTCGCAGCTCCCAAACCGCGTGGTGGTAGCCATGCAACGCAGGTAGGCATCCATCCCCTTGCCCGTCGATGGGTTGTATCGGCATGCGTCGACCAGCTCCTGGAACGTGTACGGGTTGAATATGAGGTATGGCTTGCCGTCGGACCTCAGGATCTGCATCACACCGGTGCACCAGAAGGCATGCTCCCGGATGCCCTCACCCCTCCTCGCGCTGTTGATGTGGTGAGCATAGTCCCCGCACGCACACTTTGCAATGGTCGTCGTTGTGATATCCGGCAGCTTGCAGTGCTTCTCGTCGATGGTCTGCAGCACATCCATGAACCCGTAGACCACGCCTCGCATGTAGCTCAGCGTCGCATCCGCGGAGTGGTACAGCGGTGAGAGGTTCAGCGTAAACCCCAGGTCGATGAAGCGGCTGGCCACCTGCGAGGCCGCGTTGTTTAGTGTGGAGGAGCTGCCGCCAAGGGCAAACGATTGGACGTCCTGCCCAAACACCTGAGTGAGGCAGACGCCTGTCATGTCTGCCGTGGCCGATTGTATGTCGGCATTGCTGATGACCATCTGCATGTTGCCAAACAGATCGGTGTTCAGGATCCCCAGCACGCTGTTGGTTGTGCATACCATGATCTTTTGTGTCACGGTTGCTATGTAGATAGGCAGTATCAGTATCTGTGAGAACATGTTTGTGATGCTAGCCATAGACAGGGTCGAGCGCGCATTGAAGCTGGGGTCAAAGGGGACGAGGGAGACAGCCTGTGAGCTCAGGATCTGCTGCGCCTTCATCGTGATGCCGTTGATCAGCGAGGCGATCATCCCCACGGTGGTGACAATGATGTCCTTGGCCTCGCACATGGTGGAGGCGAAGACCTCGTCGGGCCACTCGATCCTCACCACACCGTTGAGCTGTCCCGTGCTTGCATCGACAAGGAGCTTCATGTTCTGTGAGAAGATCATGTAGATACTCTGTAGGATCGTGAGGATCTGTCTTGTGACCATCTCTGCCGACGCCCCGATGGCGCAGAGTGGGCGTTGGTAGTTCACCGTCGTCCCTATGCAGTTGGCAACCGCGCACTGCGATGCCGCATAGCAGAGCCTCTGCACAGTGGGGTATCCCATGCATCCCGTGCAATCGTCAACGCTGCAGTTCTTCTTGAGCGTTGTCAGGATCTGGTAGGCAGTGCTGAATGCCCTCTGCCCCGCCCACACACCGGAGGCGATATTCAGGCGGATGTCGGAGAGCCACGTTGTTGTCACCCTCTCGTTTGCAATCGCGAAGATGGTCATGGACGATTGCTGCGAGGGCCCGTTGTATCCAGAGAGGGAGTTCTGCGACATCTTCGGTGTCTGGCGTATGATCTGGTTGTCCTGTGTGATGGATATCTTGGGGTTCGCCACGGTGGCCAATCCCAGGGTTGTCGCAAGGTTGGAGCTCATCCCCGTGGGGTGGCAGGTGAGGACGTCCACGTTCCGATCACAAACCCTGACGCTGTAGCCATCCGTAATGGGGAACAGCGCTATCCCACTGCAGGAGGGGTCCAGGCATGTCACATAGGGGGTGTCGATGGTCGAGAAGATGTTCTGATTGTCAGAGCACTGCTGGATTGTGTAGGCAGAGGTCTTCAGTGCTACGAGCTGCGCGAACTTCTTCGTGTCAAGATAGATGTGAATGCAGACCCATGCCGTGGAAGGGTTGCCATTGATGGTCTGTATGGTGGTTCCTTCTATGAAGATATCCGCAATGTCGTCGCTTGGGAAGACCACCATATCCTCGATGGTGTAGAGATCGGTGAGGAGTATCGGGTTCTGTGACGCTGGAATGGTCTGCACAAGGGTGTAGCTCTGCCTCTGGTTGCTGATGAGGAAGACGCTGCTCACCGTGGCGGCCACCAGGATGTTGCTCTCACCGATGGAGTCAATGAGATTGATGCTGGCATAGCTCAACCGCATCACCGACGACGACCACTCCTTGCTCTCCGCCACCGAGTAATCGATCGCCTTGTTGGCAAAGGACCCGTCGGTGACGACCGCACTCGTCCGGATCCCCGTCTTGAGGTTCGACGGCAGGCAATACGCCTTGGACACCAGATTCAGCCCGGTGTCAATCCCGGCGATCGCGATGCACCGATCCGGCTGCTGCGGTGGGCCGGAGACGGATATGTCACCGTGGCAGATGCGGTTGCACCCCGAGATCTCAACCATGGTGATGATGTTGAATGGGAGCCTGTTGGTTCCGTAGTACTCGTCGTTGGAGCTGAAGAATCGGCTCTCTATGCTTGTCGTCTGGTTCATCTGGTACACCAGAGGCTTTCCCTGTGAGACCTGCCTCAGGGCCGTGTCGAATGCGTTGTACTCCTCCCCGCACGCCAGATTGCAGAGGTTTGTGTGTGCGCACATCTGGAAGTAATCCACCGGCTCGGGGAGGATCGCCATCACGTAGTCGGAGGTGTAGAAGTTGTCGCATATGCCACTCTTGGGATCGAACGCAATGAAGAGGTAATCAAAGACCGAGCCAATGCTGCTGATGCCACGGTAGAGCTCGGTGAATGTACTGTCGAACGCGGTGGTGATCTTGTCGTTTGTCAGGTTCACCATGAGGCTGCACATCGTGGTGCGGCTCCCTCCTGAGAGCTGCAGAAGATCGCTGATCACCGGTCGGAATGCAACGGGAGCCCAAGGGTAGCAAGAGTCCTTCACATACTGGCTGTAGTCCTTGCCCTGTGCATCTTTGCAGACGCAGGTGACCACAGGGAAGTACACGAAAAACACATTCACAAAATCAAACCCGTCCAGCATGGACGTTGCAAACATTCGGCAGAAATGCCTGAGGGCCGAGGCGGGCGGGTTGGAATAGCCGAGGATCATGCTGGCACCATCGCACATCTCGATGCTGGGCTGCAGGAGATACTGGCTGACGTCGTCGTGCAACCCTGTGAGGACATAGAAGATCCCGGCATCGATGGGCTGGCCGGCGGCTAGCTTCAGGACATACTCCATGATCAGCCTCTCCATGAGATGCAGGAAGAGGATGATGCTGTTGCTGCCAACCCTGACAAAGCTGCCAAATACTCGCACCCATGGGGGCATAGAGAATGTGAGCGTAGAGGTCAGTCTCTTAAGGGGTTTGTTAAAATCTACGGCCGTCAGCACAACGTCCATGAATTTCGGGGCACCGGAGGATTGGTAGGTCTTGATCACACTTGTCCCGATTACCATCTGCTTGATCGAGAGCAGCACCACGTTGTTCTTGCTGAGCTGCTGCCCGAATGTTGCGATCTTTACAAACGACATGTAATACAGAGAGGAGGCGCGCTGGAACGAGCGGAATGCATTGTCCACATTGAGTATATCCTTCCCACATGCCAGCAGCAATGAATGCCCGAATGTTACAGAGGGGCATTCCGTGAATCTGTACCAGTCGCCGGCGCTGAAGACGGCAGGGAAGAGAACGATGATATTAATCGGCAGCCGCATGAATTCGAGCACCCCGGAGAAGCTCTCCGCCAGGCTGCTGCCAATCTCCGGCATCCTTCTCATGCTAGGGCAGAGGAGCCCCTCGCTGAGCATGGATTGTGGGACGAGCTCCTGGAACATCTGCGTTGCCGGGCCCTCGTTTGTGGCGGGGTTCACAAAGTAGACGGCGTAGGCATACCCGCTGTAACCGGCCCTCGGCTGTCTAGTGACGGTATCGAAGCTTTGCATGCTGGACTGCAACACCGTCACGGCGACATTGTACTCGTTAATGTACTCCAGATGCACGACCGACATGTTGTAGAGCGCACCGCAATTGCTCACCGCCTGATTCCCGTTGAAGCCCTCGAACGTCCATGTCATCACCGCCGCCCCTGTCGTCTGCGATTGATCCAGGGAGAATGCATTGAACTTCCAAACCCTGATCATGCCGTAGCTGGAGTCTACGGTGATGGAGAAACCGGCGTTGAGGCCAGCGCAATAGTCCGAGAAGGCCTGGTAGACCTCTGGGTTCGGGTTGGTGGCGTACAGGATCGCCCATTCGCTGGTTGTCGACGGGTTGTAGATCTCGGGGTAGGCCTGGTAGGCATAGGGGATGCCAATCTCGTTGGGTTGCACGGTGCTAGAGCAAGACTTGCTCCCTAGGCATATGTCGTGTGCCGGGATCAGGCCCGGAAGGTCAACAAGCCTGTAGGTGTAGTCGTCCTGCCCGAAGATCCTCGATACCTTCACATTCCACTGCGCCAGGCCGTCTTGGTATGCCGTCAAGACCACATCGCCTGCAAAGACAAAGGGTTGGTAGGTCTCGCGGATCGTCGGTGTGCTGACGTCCTGCGGGAACTGGTAGGCGGGGGTGACATTCAGATCCATCCTCGATGCCACATCCTTGCTGTTCACACAGGTCTGTGTAGCAGGGTCCCAGCTCATCTGCGAGGCGGCATCGGACACCACGCCGTTGACAATCTGGAACCTTGCCTTGGCGGTGGAGGACAGCGAGGATATCAGCGCACCCGCCGAGGAGGTAGCAACGCCGCAGTCTCTCAGGATATACTGCACGGAGTCCCTCCAGTCATTGGCGCCGTAGAGCACGATCCCCTGGTTCACACTCCCCGTCAGGTGGATCCCGATGCAATACGGGTAGCAGGAGAACCCGGTGAAACCAGGGATGCAGGCCGGATCGGGGACACCCGAGAAGGAGCAGTGCGGCATCACGTAGATGGCGGCGTCCGCCTGATTCTGAGCGTTGAGAAGGGAGCTGTCCACCTGTGTCGCACCTTTGATCTGATTCCAGGAGTTGGCAGACACCGTGCTTGCAGAGACCCTGCTCGCGGGCCAGCGCAAAGACTGCACCTCGATCTTCAGCCTCTTGCAGGTGACATACTGGCTGGAGCTCGGAATGGCGAAGCTGACGGGGATCTTCTGCGTTGCATTGGTGGAATTCGCAGCCATCGTCTGGTACTTGTCTCCGTTGACATAGCTCTGCAGGACCTCCTGCATCATCCCGGCGGTGAACTGCACATTGGCACGGGAGAGGTAGGGGACGATGGCACAGGTGATCCTCACCCCCTCCCCGGCAATATCCAGGCACTCGCACCCCAGCATGCCGGTGGAGAAGTGCCCAGCATCGTCTCCCTCGGGGAGCTCCCCGTATTTCACAGCCGCGATGCCGTACGCTGTCTCCACCGGGAACGGCCAGTTGTTGTACGCCACCTCCCTCTGCACCTGCTTGTAGAATATGTTGTACTCCGTCGACCTGCCGTCCGTCACCGCATACATCCCCGGTGTCAGGCCCACGAGCGTGCGGGGGTTGGATCCAAAGAGCGCGGCGCTGTCCGCATCCGTGTAGCTCAGCTGTATCGGGACGGGATCACAAGTAGGTGCAGAGCCGGTGAAGAGCGCCTGCAGGATCACGAGAACGATATCAAGCCAGTTGTCAACGACCTTCCCCATGTATCTCAACCCGGCGGTCATCAGCCCCACCGATGGCCGGATGTCGGGGGCACAGAGGATATGCTGCTGCACTGTGGCCATCGGGAGGCTCTTCCCGTACACGCATCGGTGTGCGGTGATGTAGGGCATCTGCACAAAGAGGTTCAGCAAGGAATTCACGATGCAGTGTATCCCCTTGTAGAGGTTCATGTCACTGAGAGGGAAGCTCAGGATGTCGATCACGGCATTGGCTGCCGAGCAACCGAACCTGATGAACCGCACCATGTAGAGGACCATATCCCGCAGGTCTGCGGCGGGTGTGATCAGGTCGAGGTTCACCATCCCGGGCTCGAAGCACTCCAGCGAGCCCGTGACGTTGGCGATCAGAGGGCTTGCCGCGGGCCCTGCCTGCAGCCCTGCCTTTGGGTTGCTGGCACAGCCCACGACGTTGATGAGATAGTTGCTGATGGAGATCATGATCTGGGTGCAGAAATTAAAGAAGGCCGTGCCGAACCTCGCCAGGTTCCCAAGGTTGGCCATGTCGGCGATGACGGTGGGGAGGAAGATCTGGCTGACGACACCATTTACAATCCACGTGAGGCAGTTGTAGATCGCGAGGATATGCCCGAAGAACATCTCCAGCATCTCCAAGGGTATGACAAACACGAAATGCAGGTACTCCCCAACCCCCGAGTTGTAGACGTCGACAAACGATACCGCGACCCCCGGTGCGAATTCCAGCAGGATCGAGAGGAACGCCATGAGGAGCACCAGGATGCCAAACCAGACCAGGTTCCTCGCGATGTATCCCAGCGACTGCGCAGCGATGTCCGTGTAGAACCCAACAAACGAGAAGACGTTGTCAACAAACGTCCCGAGCACCGACATCGATGCAAGCCTCTTGGTGGGCTGCATCGACCGGTCGGAGAACAGCGTGATCCCCGCATGCACAACGCGCTCGAGCAGCACGAAGCCCAGCACGCATGCGAAGAAGATCAGAAAGTACATCCGGCGGCAACGCGCCGGCAATCACCCCGCCCTTGTGCAAATAGTCCTAAATAGGGGAGGGTGGCCGTCTGATTGAAAATAAAGGGTCTGTCTTCTGCGGTGCGGGGGCAAAAGAGGGAACGCCCACGGCGCCCCATGCCGTTCAAGCACGTGCATCTCGCCCTTGTCGCTTCGGTCATGGCCATCGCGGCCTACCTCACGAGCTTCCAGACCGAGATCCTCTACGCCAGCCGCTATCACATCCCCAAGCAATGCCACGGCGTGGGGAGGAAGCAGGGGAGCGGCCGCTACGCCGTTCTCACGCTGCTGTCAAGCCCGAAGCAAGTGGATCAGGCGGTGGTTCTCGGCAAGTCCATCACTCTTTATTCGCGGGTAGAGTGCAGGGTGGACAGGATCGCCCTCCTCATAGAGCCAGAGCCATCCACCGTTCACAAGCTGCAGAATGCAAAGTGGAGCATCAGGCCCTTTGCAAAGGACATCGAGGCGATGCAAACCAATCGCACGCGGCAGTCCAGCTGCCTCCCCATGCTCACCAAACTGCAGCTCCTGAACATGACGGAATACGACGCGGTGCTCTTCCTCGATTCCAACACTGTTGTGCTCGGAAACATCATGGTGCTCTTCACCTACCATGCCCCGATGATGCGGAGGCTCTCCGCGCACGTCGGCTGGGTGAGGGAGCAGAGGCTGACTCTGCATTACAACCCCGGCGTGCTCCTCGTCATCCCCGACGGATTCATCTTTGAGAGATCGGTCAAGGCGCTTGCCTCGCAACAGGGCTGTAATGAGGGCGGGGTTCTCAACTCCCTCTGGCGTGACGAGACCTTTGAACTAGACCAGATCTACAACGCGATGACGGCCATGGCAGTGCAGAATGTGTCCTTCTTCGACACCATCCGCAATGACGTCAGGGTGTTCCACTCGACCTTCTTCAAGCCCACCTACCTCTTCTTCATGGTTCGGTGCTACTGGCACGGGACCTACGACCTGTGCAGGGCGTGGGCTGAGATCGAGAGAATGCAGACCACAAAGCTTCCCCCCTCCCCCTGATTCCCCTTTTTATTGTGTACGAATGAATCCAGAGGTTAAAACCTAATTACCACGTCACTCCAACCATGATCATGAGTCCATTGCACCACGCCCTTGTGATCGTCTTCATTCTCGGTGCGGTGTGCACGTATGACACTATCTCGCTGTCCGAGAGCATCTACCAACGACGCAGGCACGTGCCAAAGCAGTGCAATTTCTACGCCAGGGAGCATGGCGCAGCAAGGTACGCGGTGGTGACACTGCTCACAACGAGCGATTATGTGAGGCTGGCAAGCACTCTGGGGAAATCCCTCCTGCTCTATTCGCAACTCCCCTGTAGCATCGACAGGATTGCCCTCATCACCGCTGAATCGAAGATCACGGGGAGCAAGATCACCGAACTCTCCGATGCTGGTTGGGAGGTCCGGACGATTCAGACGATCCTCTCTCCCGAGCACATCAACTGGAACACTGTCAACACCGCTCGGTACATCCCTCTCCTCACCAAACTCCACATCTTCAACATGACGCAGTACGAAGCCGTGCTGTTTCTCGACTCCGACATGATCGCACTCGGGAATATCCACGTTCTCTTCACCGATGTCCTGCCCGAGATGAAATACAGGAAGATGCACATGGGATGGGTGAGGGACCAAGGCGGGACCTTCGCCAGGACTTTCAACACCGGTCTGCTCCTTGTCCTGCCTTCCACGGCCCTCTTCACCGACCTTATGCGATTCGTGAGAAGGGGCAAGTACGACACACTGTTCGCCGATCAGGGCGTGCTGAACTCCTACTTTGGCCTTACCCAGTACGACATCGACGGAAGGTTCAACGTGATGACCAACATCCCACAGGACAATGCGACGCTGTACGATTCCATCCGTGACGATGTCAGGATATTCCACTCGACGCTGAAGCCAACAGATCCATTCTACATATCGCAGTGCATCTGGATGAGGGCACACGATCTCTGCCGTGCATGGAAGGACCTAGATAGCCTAGATATCAAGTTTAGACGGGCAATAAACTGATGTGTTTCACCCTGGACGCCACACAGGGAGATAAAGCCATGCTCCAACCCCCAGACGATCGAATTCATGACTGAGGTGGTCACCATCGAGGATGCCTGCCTCGAGGCGGACGAGGAGCTCGACAAGGCTATCACAGAGACCCTCCAGCACATACAGCCGGAGAGGTTCGACAACACGATCCCGTTTTACTCGCTACGCGCTGTGCAATCTATCTGCTTCATCGTCATCCTCGTCTTTCACACCTGTCTTGTTTTCAACGGCGAGGGATCCAACACCCGCTACCTGTTGCAACCGCTGGAGAGCATGATGATCGATGCCGTGACGATCCTCTTCGTGACAACGGGTTGCATCGACAGCTACATCCATCATGGCGTCGCACTGGACAAGAGTTACATCATCACCAATGCCTACGGCGTGAATCACGTTCTATATGTACACATGGCTGTGGCAGGGATCATCTGGTTCTTCCTGGGCATGACCATCTACGGGCAGTGGTCGAATGCCATGTCTTGGGTGATCAATCTACTAGGAATGGCTTACCTGTCACCATTCCTAGAGTACAACCAGCAGAGCCCCTGGATGCTCTTCAACCAGCCCACAAGCCTGCTGATGACCTGGCTCACCTGCAGGACGCTCTACCCCCTGGCCCGCAAGGCGCTCGACACCGCGATACACATCACCCCGGGTCACCACGAGATCGTCAACATCCTCATATCCGTGGTGCAGACGAGCGTCTCCTCGATCATCACCTCGCTGCACATGCGGGATAACAACCTCTACTTCTCCTTCCGGTTCATCCTCCCGAGGTTCTCGGAATACACCCTCGGCTGCGCAATCTTCACGTACCTCTTCGATGCCAACTTCGAGAAGGACTCCAGGTACATCCGCCGAGCATCGGTGCTGCTGACGCGCGGGGCGATGCCGTTGGTAATCGCACACGCATGCATATGGATCGCACAGATCGGTGATCCCGGCAGCCCTAGCGATCAGATCTGCACGAGGATCGCACACGGCGCTCCCTGCATGAGCAGGTTCGACAGCGTCATGTCAAGGGCGGTGCTGGCCTCGCTGCTCATCATCGCGACCTGCAAATCCAACTCCGGGATGACGATCCTTACCAACTGGCTGTGCGACAACCTTCAATGCCTGCAGACACAGGCCGTTTACCAGACACTCCTCTGCATCCCCGCCGCCGCCATCGTCACGGCCCTCGGCCTCTCCGGGCACGCCTCGCTGTTTGCATTCCTGTGCCTGCCCGTCATTTACGCCTGGTCGAGAGTTGCAGGGTTTTGGCTTACACCGGTCCTTACTGCCGGGCTGGAGAGGGTGCTGGACAGGATGGGGCCGCATCTCCATAGGGTCCTGGGATAGGACCTAGCCTATGTACCCGGGAGATTGCAGGGAGATACACTCGGAGGGTTTAAAAGGAAGCGCCTTTTGCCCCCTCTCTCCATCCCACGCCTGCATGCCACGCTTAGCAGAGGTAGAATTCGAGGTTGACCTCTGGTGCTACGAGGTCATGCCCACCGAGGAGGAGATCAAGGCGTGGGCCTTGGAGAATCCACCCTTGGAAGAGCCGGAGATGGAAATTACGTCGACGCTCTATGACTGTGACGACGAGGATGTAGGTTTCAGCGATTTTTACGTATCCCTCACACCGAACAAATAAAAAAAAACGTATCTTGAAGCACCATTGATCGTCTGACATGCCACATGCTCACTTGCACAAGAAACCATACTGCGTCACTTGCAAAAGGCTGTGCAAATGGGCCAGTTAAACTACGAATGGCACACATTCGGCTTCGAGATCCTCATGCAGGTCAACCCGAGAGAGTTCAACCTAGAGGGGAAGCGCATGATCCTCAGACACAACGCGAAGCACGTGTTCCAGCGCGAGATACAGTCGGGGAAGTGCATGATGAACCTCCTCCGTGAGCTCGAGAACGAGGGGAAGCAGAAGGGAAACAAGCACATATGCGGGTTCCGGTGGGTGGCAGAGAGGACCAAGATCGAGGAGGATTTCACGGTCAAGTCTTTTGTCGAGGACAACCTCGCCAGGCTCCTTCTCAACATGTCCAGGGTGATCCAGGAACAGGTGGAGACCCACATCCTTGCACACCCCAGGCTTCATCCCACGAACACAGACATCGAGATGCTCGATGCCCCAAGGCCGCAAGAACTCCCTATCGTGAAGGGTAATACCTCCGCAACACACTGGCCGCTGATACTGCATTCCTCCCCTGATCGGAACATCGATGGTGGCCAGGAGTGGATGCAGTTCCTCCGCATGTGCCAGGAGATTGCCAGCACCCTCGGGGTCAGCCACCAGGAGGCTGTCTACCACAATTGCATCAAGATCGAGATGACAAGGCATCAAATCCCTCATATCTCACACTATCACTGCATGCAGAAGATGCCGGGTGGGAACCTCACCAAGATTGGTGAATGCGATCTGTTCGTCGAGCTCCGGTCGGGGGCGTTCCTCGTAGAACTCAAGGTGTGCGCAAGCTGGAGGAGATTCGAGAACCAGGTCAAGAAGTACATCAACGCATGCTACTCCGTCAATCAGAGGCTGCAGGGGGCTGCCATACTGAATTTCCACCCCAAGGGTTACATCGAGTGCATCATGTTCGATGTAAACTGCAGGCACACCCCCTCCGGGTCGTCCTGAATCGGATTCATTTCATGTCGTCAATCATATTTAAGAAATACCACTCAGCTGCCTGCAACTCGAAGAATGTCTTCTCGACTATCCTCAGAGGATCTCGCAAACATGGAATCCATGCAACCAGAGAATTTCCAGATTTTCTCGCTGAACGACGAACGCAAAACCGTCGGAGGAAAATCCCTCACTGCCCTTGCTGACATGGCTTTGAGTCACAACAACTCGGCTGACGCTGCGAGTCTCCATGCCCAGTTCCCGGATGACGCCCTCAGCAACGAGTTTCACAACAACTCGCCCTCTCCAACCGGTGAACCGGTGCCGGAGCCTGTGGACCCCAACCTGCCTGAGCATCTCAGGCCGTCAGTTCCCCCAGCCCCGGTCCAACCCCCCAAGACAAACTATGTGCAAGTCGCAAGGGGTTTGAGGGCGGCTTCGGAAGCCCCCCAGGCTACCCCCAACCAGGAGCAGCTGCAATTCATCTTGCAGCAATCAGAGTGGTTCCAGCAGATGGTTGCCATGGCAGCAAACCAACAGTTGGCCCAGACCATGTCTGGACTGAGCAACATCCCAGGCAACAACATGTTTGTCGCACCACAACCACTTCGCGCTTTCGCGCAAGTTGTCCCGGCGACAGACGTTCCTACCACCTCGGTCGAAGCATCATCGTCTACCTCCAAGACGAACAAGAAGAGGGCCCCTGAAGCTGCAGATCAGAAGCAGGACAACAAGAAGCAACGTGTTGCCAACCCCCACCCTGAGCTGAAGCTTAGCTTCCGCATCGTTTGGAGCCGATTTGATTTCAACATCGTCAAGCTTCGTGATTGGATTCAAAAGCATGCCAACAACTCCGCCAAGACCGCCGAAAAGAAGGCTGAGACTCTTGAGAACAAGAAGGAACAACTGGAGACACTCAAGAGGGAGATCGAAATCCTTGAGGAATCGACCAACGCTGCCATCAAGAAGGCTGAGAGCCTGAACAACGACTTGGAAGAGACGAACAGCATCATCAACCGTCTTCCCGGCAAGAGGGACTCCGCCAAGTCAGGCCAGGCTTCCAAGGCTTCCAAGAAGAAGTAGATCGCTTTGCGATCTTCTGCCAGTTTCTTTGGAACAAGGGCGAGGCAATTACTCTGGTTTACTGAGATTTGCAAGAATCATAAACCGTTAATCTAACTTTACACAACGTGTCCATGTGTGATTCAAACAGTTTATTGTGAGAAAAGACAACTACGAGATAGGCATGATGTCATGCTTGCAGAGCGAGGGGAAGTGAGCCTTGCATTTAGCCACAGTGGGTTCGAGCTTGTCGTACGCCATGGAGAGCTGCACAGACTCGAAATGGCGCTCTCCAGCGTCTGGGTCCAGGAGGCGTGGGAGGTAGTCGAGGATGGGTGTGTACTCCTCGTTGCATGGGATGAGAGCAAACGCTGGGATCTTGTAGTCCCTCTCTTGTTCTCGCGCGAGCCTGTGCTCCTCTGCCAATGCCTCGAGGCGGTTCTCCTTGGGCCAGGAAAAGAACGGCTTCTTGCCGGTGATGATCTCCATGATGACACATCCGATGCTCCATGGGATCTCGTTGGAGTTGTCAGACTCGATGCCTGCAATTTGATCCTCAGCAGCCGCCGGATCGATGTAATCCAGATCGTTGTGTTCACAGGAGGGGAGGAGGTCGTGGAGCTTGAACTCCAGCGGGACGAGGCCGTTGTACCTTCCCCAGACCTGCACGACAAACATCTTCGGCAGGTAATACGTGGAGTACTTGGGGAAGCCGCTCTCGGCTCGCTCCAAGATGGAGTGCACCGCATCCCAGAATGCGTAGGCGTGCATCCAGAGGAAGTCAAACTGGTCCTCGTGCCACTTGCCATTGTCGAGGAGCTGCTTGAAGTTGAAGCCATCCTCAAACTCCGAGCACAGATGCACGCAGAGCGGGCTGATAGCCCAGCTGTGCAGCGTTGGGATCGCAGGGCTGATCGCAGTCTCAAACGCCTTGAGCTCGATCTTGCGCACCCTCTCGTACTGCAGGTCGTAATCCTTCTTGTACGACCGGATGACAAACACGCGCGTCTCCGGCATCTCCTGGCGCTCCTTCTCCATCTCGTCGTCCGTGTCGTCACGAATGAGATACCGGAAGATGGCACAGGCGGTGTAGTTGTGCGACGTCTTGATCTTCCCCGCAGCACGCTCCTCCTTGCTGATCGGGAGCCAGCGCTCGGTGTCGAAGCCGTTCCTCTCGTTCTTGCGCAGGCGAACGACACGGATCGTGCTGCGAGCATCGTCGTGCACGAGCTGCGGGGTTTCCAGCGGCATGCTATCCTGATCGAACTCAAAGGGCAGCAGGCCGGAGTAGCACTCCTTGTAGAGCTCGAGCTCGGCATCCGTGAGCTGAGCACCCCTGTCCTTGACGAGGGGTTCGATGTAGGAGAATGGGAGCATGGGTTTTGGGAGGGCCCCGGGACCCCCTCTCCTTTTAAACCCCCCTCCCCTGCCGTTACGGGGCGGTTACATGACCCTCCCCGTGAGGTCGAGTCGGATCACTGTTCGCTGCCTCCAGCGCAGCAGGTGTGGCTGCCAGGCGTCGAGCAGGTCGACGAGCGGCGGTCGCCTGGGCGTCACCAAGCCGATCTCGTTCCAACACCGGGCGAGCGCCCCACCACCGGAAGGCCATGGGTGTAGCATGAAGAGCCCGGAATCTATCATGTACCTTGCCAGGTACGCATCCCATTGCAGATGCTGCAACCCGTTCTTCTTGAGCGCCTGGAACCGCTGGAAAACCGTCAGGTCTTGGATCTCGAATTCATCAACCGCGGTGGGATCGAACTGTGCGTCCTCCTCCGTGGTGCGGGCCATCCATCTGCGGAAGGCCTTCCAGTGCTTGGGTATGGGAGCGAGTGCCTGCAGCGTTGGCATCTTGTACTTGACCGCGTTGGCGGTGACGGGAACGCTGGAGGAAACATCACCCAGCCCCAGATAATCGATCCCGCGCTCCGTGGGCCTCACAAGCGAGATCCCGAAGATCGTCGCGTCGGATCTGAAGTGAGGCAACGCGACCAGGATCCAACGGAGGTAGAAGCGGCTGACCTCGATGTCATCCTCGAGTATCAGGAAGTAGTCGGTGGAGGAAAGCGGGGTGTACGAGCGTTGCCACATCTGCAATCTCCCCCTCGGTTCGGTCTCCTGCACGTGCTCGAGTGTCCCATGCAGCCAGCGCAGCCTGTGCAGAAGGCGTGATGTCTCCGCGCACAGCACACCGCTGCTTGGCATGTCCTGTCTCACGATCAGGTCTATCCTCTCCCCGGGGCTGTACGTTGCCGAGGTGAGAGAGACAAGCAGCCTCTCCAGGCTCTTCGGGCGATCGCTGGTGAGAACCACAATGGTCAGTGCCGTGGGCCTTGTGCTGGGCGGATTGGATCGCGGCGCCTCCTCAGCGTCCACCTCCTCCCTCATCCTCCAACCTGGGGGCTTCCCCTGCGGCTTGGCCTGCTGCAGGAAGCTGTTGAAGTGCGCGATGAAGAAAAGGGTGCTCACAATCATCAGGCCCACTGCGAACATGACGTGATTCCTCGCATACATCCTCATCCTCACCTCCCATGCTGCGTTCATCCTACCAGTGAAAGCAAGCGCCATTTATGTGCTGTCGCAGCGCTGTGCATCGAATCCCCAACGCGAGGATTGGATGGAGAACTCCGAGGCGGGCCGGGAGGGGAGAAGGGCATATAAACCAGGGGAAGGGCCCGATTCCCCCCAGACCATGAGCCACGCCACGAAACCCTACACTCCCTCCGACCTCGAGCACGACGAGGAATTCTGGGAGTGCCTGAAGTGCTGCCTTGACACCGAAGAGAGCAGGCGGCAGATCCAGCTCATCCGGAATATGGCTCGATACTGCATCGAGCACAGCGACCTCGTAGAAGTGCGAGATGAAGACGAGGATGATGCACCCATCGGTGCAAAGCGAAAGCGAGATAACCAGTGAATGCTTGTAATAAAACCGCGATTTAAACATGCAACGTTGTGTGATCACACAGGCCTATGCAGGAGGATGAGAGCACCTTCGCCCTCCGCTGCCCCGACACGATGCAGCTCAACCTCCGCAACCACTTGCACAGGCTCAGGCCCTGGGCTATGCCAGCCTTCCTAGATGTCAACTCGACCAAGAATTACTTCAAAGTGGCTGCGGCAGAATGGGACGAGTTCCTCGCTGTCATGCAGCGCACGGCAATCGACGGGGCGCTGTTCCGCAAGTGCATCAAGGGATGGATCACGCAGCAATCCACACCTGGGAGATTCATCTGTGTGGTCTGTGGCAGGCCCTCCATCGTCGACCTCTCCGCGATGCAGGTTGAAACAGAGGGGAACGGATGCGGGGTCTGCATCTGCTGCATCAACATGGGTGGCCTTACCCCGCCGGGCTTCACCGACCACGCTGTGAATAACATGTTCTTCATCCAGGCGCAGAAGGAGCTTGCCGCTCTGTATCCCAACATGAACATATCGCTGCAGATCGACTCACAGGTGCAGGGTGCGGAGGTGGGCCACCTCTCCCGGCCTGACGCGACGCTGTTCTTCGAGTACAACTCACAGGCCACCGTGGTCTACGTCGAGTGCGACCCCGGCATGAAGCAGATCCGGCAGCAGGCCATCCGTGACAAGGATCTCCTCAAAATCCAGCAGCTCTACAAGCCCACCACGACCACCACCCTGACGGTCATGATCCGGTACGATCCAAAGATCGACAGCAGGATCAATCACAGCAGCAACCTGTTCCGCTCTCTCTGGGAGATCATCCACAGCATTGCAGACACCGCGTTCAACGGGCACAACTCATCGGTCGTTCGGAAGACCGGCCGCGTGTTCCTCAACTATGACTTTGGCACCTTCAATAAGTTCGGTTACCGCATGCAGGGCCTGGATGACTGCTTGTCGAATATCCTCTCACCTCTGCAACAGAACGGATACGCAGAGGCTGTCTGCAACCCCATACCGCAGTATGACGTAAAAGATATCGACCCCTGCAGCAACATCGATTTCTACAAGCACAAGCAGGTCTGGCTGCAGGTTGCCACCGACGTGCACATGAATCCGTTCTTCATCGCCTTTGCAGGATCCAACATGAGGATCGGGAGGGTGAATGGGAATTCCACACCGCCTGCAATTCACCCAATGCCACAGTGCCCGTGCGATACCTGCACGGATTCAACTCTCTGCAGAACACCGTGCAGCTCGACCCTTTCACCATCCGGATGGGAAAAGGGCTGCTGGTGCAGGCACTCCTCGTCCAGAGGCACGGCATACTGTCGACATACGACGCAAGGCACCTGCTCCCCACCCGCGCCAACGGGCCCAGGAAGAGGGGGGCAAGATCGAAGAGAGTCAGGAACGTTGATGATGAAGAAGACGACGTTTAATTCACGTTCAAACGAACTGAATCTGCAAGGCATGGCAGAGTCCGATGTACATCATACTGCGTTCGTAGACGGCGAGAAACTCCATTGGATCGTACTCGGTGTTCAGAGTGTAAAACTCGAGCAACATCCTGTTGTACTTCAAGCACTCGGCACGGATGCGGAGCCTCTCCAGGATCCTGTCGTTCTCCGGTAGGATCACATGAACCTGCAGGTACCTTGCAATCTTGTATTGGATCGCCTGGAAGCGATTGAGGTCATAGAGCATAAAGCGAAACATTGCACTTGCGTGGCCCCCACCGAGGTGGGCTTAAATATCACCCATTTGACTGATGAGATGCGGCCCTATAGAGTTCCCGCCAAGCCCGTCCCTCTCGAATTGAATAAATCCCACGGCCACGGGCCTCGCGGAAAAAGAACGCATGGCCACCACGGCGATCGACCAATGCACGCAATCCAAGGAGCGCGTGATGAACTTCATGCAGATGGAGAACGTCGACCATTCCATGCTGCTCCTCGCGTTGGTTCCCCAGAGCAAGCTGCAGATCTGTCCTCTGTTCGGCTTCAGCATCGAGGGCAAGACGTATGGCATGCGCATGCATCCACTGTTCCCGGTCCTGCTGCTGGATCAGTTTGACGAAGGCATGGTCGACAAGACTTCCCGCATGGTCAAGAAGGAGTACCACCCTATGATCCGTGAGCTGTTTGCTGAGGCCTGCAAGGAGTCGCCGCTGGTCAACTGCTGGTTCCCCTGCCCGCCCCCGATCTCGGTGTACGGCGAGGATATCCGATGCCTGTGCGTCAAGTTCTCCACCAACATCACAGACAAGGACCTCATTCAAAGACTCATGCACATGCTGATCAATGTTCTAAGCTCCTTCAAGACACCCCTCCCTCCCGCTATCTTTGTGAGGACCATGGAACTGTGTGGCAACGTAACCCTGCACACAAGCCTGCTGATGAGACAATCACAGTGCGAGGAGGTGCACAACATGCTAGTCAACCATGCTTTCAAACAGAGGGATGGCGAAACACTGAGCATATGCATGAACCCCTACATACCTTTCATCCGCACCGGCGGCAAGACGACAAGGGTCACGGACTATCTCCTGCAAACGTCATGCCAGGAGGGAGTGTCACCTGAGTGTCTTCGCAGCTTCGACTACGAGCAAGAGCGATTCCAAGACGCGGAATACATCATGCAGCTGCCTGTGGATGCGTCAGCCATGGCTCCGTACCTGAACTTCCTGCAGTTCTGACTTGCATTGCATCTTAAATACACGAATAAACCGCTGATCCGATACTGTGCCCACGCGTGATCCCTCGCATAAAAACACCCCGACATCAACCGTGCAAAACCATGCTCATCAGCGGCATCGCCAACCCTGCCGGGGAGACCGAGGGATACAACGGGCTGCACCTCAAGGACGGGGAGATCGACGAGATCATCAGCGGCAGGCAGATGATCGGCATCCCCGTCAAGATCGAGCACAAGGGCGTCGGTGTCGGCACCGTGGTCTCGGCATTCAAGGATGAACAGGGCAGGCTGAACTGCATACTGGACATCACCGACGATGAGATCGAGGGCGCGATCGCACAGCAGTGGGTGCGGGACAACACGGCCAGCGAGCTCTCGCTGGGTTACACCGTCGACATCAACCAGTCCGAGCCGCAGGGCAGGCTCTCCGCGGGGAGGAAGAAGGTGCTCGAGGTCAGCCTCGTCAGGAAGGGTGCGAGGAAGGGCTGCCACATCTACAGCCACCCAGGGAAGCACCCGCCTGGCGACCCCGGGTTGATCAAAGACTGGCGCGAGGCTTTCGGCCACCCCTTCTGAGGGTGCATAAAAGCAAAACCTCGCCCGGTCCCGCGCGCCCCCCATCCCCCACGCCCAGGGTCCCACGCATGTCGAAATACATCGAGAGCGAGCCAGAGGAGGACGACGAGGATGACTGTCACGATTCCGAGAACGAGGAGGACAGGGCATTCATCAATGACGACGCCGAGGATGACAACGACATGTCGGTATACCGCGAGCACCAGAGCGATTGCGACGAGGACAGCACAGTGGAGCTGCGCAAGATCACCAGCAGGATGATCCGCGGGCACCAACCCATGGAGGACGACTGGATCTCCGACGAGGAGGACGAGCCCGATGGCTACATCTACGACTTTGGGATCAAGAACCAGAAAAGCACCAAGCAGCGCGAGGATCTCCTCAGGCAGGCCGTCAAGGAGGATGAACGCGCCCTCTTCGTGAAAAGCACAAAGGAAACCACACACTCTTTCCAGAGGCCCGTGATCGAGAGGGTATCGAAACCGCTGCCTGCCAAGCCCACTGAGACAGAGCTCAAGCCCCGACAGTTCAGCTTTATCCAGGACTTAGAGGAGAGCGAGAGGAAGAAGAGACTCAAAGACAACGCGGCAAGCCTCGCAAAGACCCTCAGCAAGGAGAGGGAGAAGGTCCACCGCAGGCTCACCGCACCGCCACGCAAGGCAGTCGTCAAGAAGCCCCTTGTCGCTGAGAAGGGGGATAAGAGCATTAAGGAGTTCTTCACTAAAATTTAATCGGAAGCCGACCACCCACCCTGACTCCAAAGCGATGTATACGTATGTTGCTTGAGATAATCGCCCCCGCTATTTCCACACAGATCCGAAAGTCCATGTCATCCCGGATATCCCGCAGAGTCTGCAACGCATGCTGTACCACATCATCATTCAAGTCATCGCAAGATTCTAACCTGTCCAAGAGTTCACGGGGCTGAAACCCAGCATATTGTTCCAGGTTATGTCGCAATCTCTGCATCAGTACATTCTTGTGTGCTATCAGCTGTCTCTCTGTCAGGGTATTGTCGAACATGGTTTGAGCCATTTGGACGAATCTCTGGATGTTGATATACACAATCCTGCTGAATATCTTCATGCTCTGGATGACCAGAGGCTTGTTGCTCTGTACTAGGATAGAGGCCTGTCGATTGTAATCGTCGAGCAGTTCAGAGTTATAATCATGGACATATCTAAGGTTGTCTCGAGTAGACCTGAAGTGATCAGATACGCCGCTTGCATCGGATTCATCGTACAACCTCTGTAACTCATCCCTCATGCTGTGAAGACTATTATCTTGTCGATCCATGTTGACAATAACACTCATCAAGGTCACCGGAATGTATCCGATCAACATCATAAACTGGCGGTTGCTGTGAATGATTCTTGACACACTTCGAAGCACAGAGGACATCCTCCCCCCTTCCCGTTGTTCCTCATCATGCTTGAATCTGGTCAAAACAGAGATCACATGCGGGTCCGTGTATTCCGACGTCAAGAAAAGATGCATGCAAAAATCCGTGCTCAGATAAGGCAAACTATTTTTCTGTCGCACATCGTACAAGCGACCGAAAAACCTTGACTTGAGGGTGTGGTATAGGCGCAACACTTCATTGCGATCGTCCTCACTCATGGCATCGAAACCATCGAACCGCTCTTCGGGTTGGGGCTCTATCACAACCTCGGCCATTTTGGCCATGCCATCCTCCCTGTGTATTAAATAGGTTACATCTCTCGCAATCGGCTCCGCAACAAATACAGAACCTCTCCAAACCGATACTGCCTGTACGCCAACCATCTCACATACGTTATCTCTCGATCTATATCAACATTGGGTTGCTGCATGTGATCATGCGATGATTGTATCAAAAATTTACAATTGTTCAAGAAATGTTGGGTCCTGGGGATCTCCGCCTCAATCTGTTGACGAGTGGCATTTTCAAGGAAATTCATCGCAATCGCCGTACCATCGTTCTTTGCTGCGGTTTCAATGTCTATCAATGGTCCCCCAGGGACCCTGATTGGCCAATCACTGTATCGAATCGCCATTGTGCTCAAAAATGATCATCTTTATCTTTAAATATTTCATTACAAGGGTAATTCTACAAGCTTTAATCAATGAATCATTTCAAAGGGATCATAATTAAAGTTGAGCTTTAGAGCCTCTAGCTGTGTCTCGTACCTCTTGACCAAGAAAGGGACGATCTTCGTCTCGAGCTCCTCCACCTCATGCCTGATGTCCTCATGCCTTATAGACATACCTATGTCTCCTTCGTGCTCGTACAACGGAGGGCTGTATTTTGTGTTTGGTGGTGGGAAGAAGGGCCTACCATCTGGATAGATCTCCCGTGTCACATTCTCGCGCTCCTGAAGATCTGCAACTCCCTTCTTGCGCTGCAAGGCGTGCTCAATCTTGGCGTTGACCCTGCTCTCGTGCTCCTGCCACATGTCAAAGTAGGTGATGGCATAGATGATGCGGTCTCGGATGTAAGTGAGATAGACTCTCTTCTCACTCGATGGCATATAGGGGTAAGCTGTACAGAACATTGCGTGCCGGGCAGGAGACAGGAAGCGGGGCTGGAAATTTATAGACTACCTCAGGGAAAAAGGCAACGTTTCGAATTGTTGCGCTCTCGGCAAGAGTTCGTGGGATGGGAACTTAGCTGCAAACCCTTAGACCTCCCTCGCGGCAACCCGCATGACGAACCGCAGCACACAGCCGGTCTGCCGCAGGATGCAGACGAGAAGCGCCATGGTGCTGAAGACAAGTCCCGACACCAGCGGCTTCATCATTAGCTCGTCGGACCGATGCAGGTGCACCTGCTTGCAGAAGAGGATGAATGCCAGGATGCTGGCCGACTCGACCCGCCGCCCCTGCATGCAAGAGCTGATGAGGGTGATGGTGGCGCAGCCCTTGAACAGCGGGTTGAGGAGGAAGACAATGATCTGCTTCGGCGTGGTGCCGGTGGTGCTGGAGAGGTTACCCCAGCCCACCAACAAGGTGATCACCCAGGCTACACAGCAGGCAAACGGCGCCGACTTGTAAAGCACCATGCGATCGATGCGAGTCTCCGTCGAGTCCATCACAGGCAGTGTCGCCCCCATCGGTGCAAGCATCCCGAACATGACATCGACCCTTGGCATCTTCAGCCCGGTGCAGAACTCCATGTCCAGCGGGGCGGAGTTGTTCGAGCATGCCGACAGGAAGAATGAGACTATGGAGGCAACAAGGCAGATATAGGCAAACAGCGTGAAGCAGCCGTTCACGGCCGAGGTCACATCCCGCCTGCGCTGACGGAAGAGCTCGAAGACGTGGCAGAACTCGAGGATGACAATGCCTATGATCAGGAACATCCCACACATGGCATTCCTCAGGTCCGTCGCGTAAAACACGATGAAGATCGTGCATCCCATCCCATATACAGAGCGATACAGGATGTAGATCTCCTCGTACTCTGTCATGACCATGACGCGCGGCCTGTCCTGATGATCGATGGACTTTGGCATGTGACTCCAATCCTCCGCTGCAGGCTCTAGATCGACAGTGACCCGCTCTGCCTGCTGCATCTTGTTGGTCTCCTGAGACGCAGGGTCGAAATCCTCCAGGTCTCCGACGCTCTCGTCCCTCTGCTCAATGTCATCCATGTTGTTGTAGCTGATCTGCCTCTCACGGTTCATTGCCTTGTTCACGAGGAATTCAAGAAGCTTGATGGCGGCAAAGTAACCGCAAGCAAGTAGCAGCGCGACGCTGGAATCCGTGATCTGTTGTGTGGTTTGCACGGACGCGCTGTCTGTTGTGCCCATCGCAATCAGCACGGCGCTGACAAAAATTATGCTCCTTACAAGAATCCCCATCACAGAACTATGCAAGTGTCACAGTGTGTGTTTTGTTATATGCTCTGCGAGTAGAGGATCCAGAACCATGCTTCGAATAATTTTTAGTCAACCCCTCCCCTCCCTGGGGTTATAAATTTCAAGGCCCCCCACCCCAATCCCCATCCATGAACCCCACGGTCCAAAGGACCCACACTCCCCTCTTCAATTTCTGGAAGAGGAACAAGACCTTCCAGAAGAGCTTTGCAAACATCGTGAAATTCAAGGATGACGAGATCAACATGTCCGACTCCTCGGTGGTGCTCTACCACTTTCACCAGCAGTTGCTCACCTCCACCATCGATTTCCGCCTGCAGCCGGGGGAGAGCGAGGAAGAGCGATGCGAGCGCGTGAAGCTGGCTGTCAAGCAACTGACAAGATTCACGCATCGGTTCTTTGCATTCGTCAATTCGCTGTACCTCCTGTACGATCCCAGCACACCGGTGCTGCGTTACAGCAAGAAGATCGACAAATTGCTGCAAACCAAACTGCAAGTGGCGCGGCAGGCAGAGGAGATGCTGCATCTCACCGATGACATGCACCGCATGGATCTAAGGGACTGCTACCACAATTGCAACGGTAGCGTGAGGTACCATGCGATGAACGTGGATTACATGCGCAAACTGCTCAACATGGTGAAATTCCCAAACCTATCGCTGTTCTTCATCTATGGGTTGCCAAACATGGTCCACCCTCTCTACGACCAGCTCAGCTACAACAGCTACACCTTGCGGTTTCAGCCACAGGGTGTGATACCCGATATCGTCACGGCACAGAACATCCTCGTCAACATGCAGGAGCTGGTCTGTTCGATGACCGATTACAGCTCCTATTACAGCAACCTCGCGCGCTTCATCGAATTGCGCGATCGGTTGTTCGAGGACGCCAGACAAAGCAAGGTCATTGCCAAGATCGAGCAGATGATCAGATCTACGGTGAGTCCCGCAGGGTTCGGCCCTGGAACCTTCCGCTTCATCATTGTGCTCCCCATCTTCCCAAAGATTGTGCAGAACATCAACATGATGGGGTTCCCCAACCGCGGAACCAAGGCAGAAATCCACGCGCTCTTCCGAGAGCGTCGCAGGCTGTACAGGAAGTGGAAGATCCCCTTTGAGATCCAGGTGATGCTGCATCGGAACATCGAGCGGGGATTCCCCATTGTCTACCAGAAGGTTTATTCTCTCTCTGTAGCGAAATAAAGAAGGAAACCCTCAAAAGCTCTGGCAACAAGCCCCCGCGTGATCGCAGCAGAAGAAGGATGCATTGAGGCAATCGCCAATGCACATCGGTGTCGTGCAGTTGTAGTAGAGGCAGCACACCTTCTCTAGGCAGGAGGGCTCGATGTACCTTGTCCTGTGAATTTCATTATAGGAGGAATCCGATTGATAGCCGTCACGGTAGTCATCCATACGCAACTGATTCTGCGGGTAGCGCAAAACCACCATCCATAGGCAACGCAGTTCTGCACAACTTTAATAACCCCCCTGATCTGTCTCGGATGGCATGCCACGGTATAAAGAGCGGGGCGAGATAAACACGGGAGGCATGGATGCGGCAGAGTTGGACGTTGACATCCACGAGCGCATCAACCGAGCATTCGAGCTCTACCCGCTGAGCCGCGATGAGCTCGACACATGCCGCGCGCTGCTGAAACCGAGCCGTCACACATCCATCATGGTGATGCCCACACACAGGATCAACGAGGTCGGCGAGTTCCAGGGATTCCGCTTCAACGCCGGATCGCAGATCAATGCCGACATCCTCCCAATATCGCGGAAGATGTTCTTCGGCATCACCATGACCGAATGCCTCAGCAGCCAGAGGGAGGATACACGCGGAGTCAACAGCAAGGCTATCGACCTGCTGAACAACCTCGATGCATGCAAACAAAAGATGCAAAACATCCTGCAGAATATTCAGAAGGCATCGCTGCACGAGAAGGCGAGCTTCCAGTGCATGCCAGTGAACGCATACGGCATGCACGAGGAGGGGGATGCCTACCTCTCCGACTACCGCCGCTACACCGACTCCAAGTTCTGGAATCCAGAGCCCCCCGAGTTCATCGGAATATACCATGGTTTCACGCGTGGATTTATCAACGATATACGCGAGCACAAGCTCTACATCGCCTGCTCTGGAGGGCTGAACTACGCTTCGCACGACTTCTACAACATGATCCTCGACATGGGAGACCAGGTGACGACGGCAAAGCTCTGCGAGAGCGAGGAGGTGCACTGGCTTAGGAAGGCATCGCAACGCGCGAGGTGCAAGATCATCAAGATGGTGGCAGACGAGTTCGGCTTGGATATCCCCATCGAGCTCGACACGCACGAGTTCTCAACCAACGGGTGCTACATCGCCACCCCCACAACGGAGACCATCTATCACGACATCCAGAAGACAAGCTCGGATGTCATCTCTGTGTACAACCATGCATGCAACACCGAGCTCAGCGACAACGGCATCCTCTGCCCGATGCACCCCTCCGAGGGCATATGGCTCGTCCAGTCCAAGATCATCATGGGCTTTCCCAATCTCCTCGTGACCTACGGTGCCGTGGGGGAGGGCTCCGAGGGTCTCAGCCGCTGCCCGATCCAGCAGGGCATCGGTGCCTTTGTCGGTCTGAAGCACCACTGCAAGATCGACAGCGAGTGTGCATGGAAAACAGTTTTTTGATACACAGTATGGGAAAGAACTGAATAAGGTCAAACAGTTTCTTGATACAGAGTATGAGGAAAAACTCAAGAAGGTTGAAGAGAGTCATGAGAAAGAACTCGTTAAGCTCAGGGCAGAACAAGCGATTCGCCGCGTCGAGTATTTGGCAGAGCTCCGCAAATTGCAGCGAAAGCATGCTGCAGAATTCATCAAGTTGAAAGATGATACAGAGCATGCGATAGAACTTGTTAAGGGATTGCAGCATGTTGAGGAACAAAATGGTGGTGAATGTGATATGGGTGAGAGATTAGAGTGCGTGGTGTGTTTTGGAAATGTCCGAAGCCATGCTTTTGTACCCTGTGGTCATCTAACAATTTGTCAAGATTGCAAAGATAGGTACTATCCAGTGCACAGAAGGGTACGAGACAGAGGGAATGTAGCACCTAGAGAATACCTAGCACCAGATGCAACATGCCCAGTGTGTAGACAGAAAGCAACTGCATGTATCCCGATATACAAGGCATGAAGTTTTTGTTTTCGGGCTGCAGGGATGCGGGAGAAGTTGTTGCCGGGAGTCTTTGGATCGTGGAGATTTTTTACTTATGATGTGTTAACCGTTGACGTTCACTTGGAAATTGCCAGTGGGACATTGAATGTCCCACTTCCGGGAAATTTTGCAATATGAGATGATTACGCGGAGTTGTGATACGTGTTATTGAGTAAACCTTGTGATATGCGTCTGGAACATCTCAGGTTTAGCTTTGAACTCTTTTTCAGTCTGTTCAATCGCCATCTGCATCAAATCAGAGTCTTTTTTCTGATACACGTTGACAGAGAAGAGTTTGCCATCACATCTCCTTTGTTCCTTTTCTGGATCATGACCGTATTTGGTTCTGTAGAGATCAGCTAGAATCTTCCCAGCACGCTTGAGCATCTCAGGGGTGAACTTGGTTTTCTTCGACTCCAAGACTTTGTCTTGCAAACCAATTGTTTCAAACATGTCGGTCTGAAGTTCCGTGTGGGGAGTGGGAGTTTGATCTGAGGCAATGCCATTGTTGCTCATCAACTTCTGTCGCTTGTGAAGGAACTTGTTGAAAGTGTAGTCTTGGAGTGAGTTTGCAATTGATGGTGGTAGCACTCCGTTTACTTTCATGGCTTCCTTGAAGAACTCCAGTTCATCTTTGAATAGCTCGAATTTGTCTCTTGATAGCTGAAATTCATCCCTAGAGCTTTGATTCTGAATTTTGAGTCGTCTCTCTTCAATATCGAGCTTTCTGTTTTCAATCTCCAACTCAAGCAACCTTGGATCGATGTCATTGTTCCTCTGCAAATTGGAACTAGTCGCTTGAGCACTCTGTTCCATTGCCGCCACTCCTTGCGCTTGAGGATAATGTTCATTGCAGAAACTCTTCAATATCTTGATTATTTCCTCTCGATCATTCTGCACTGATCGTTCTGGGAGATGTTGCAGAATCATCTGGATTGTATCAAAATCGGCCACTGGAATATCACGTTGTCCACGTCCCCGAAATTTGAAGTCAAGTATCTTTGACTGAATATCAGGATAATTCAGAAGGATGTTCTGAAGGATTTTTGCCGAATTCTGATTGTTCTTGTTCGTGATATGTCTTATCGTATCAATCACAGACATCATAGGAGGAGATCCAGGTTTCACACGGATTGAAGCTTGAGGACTGATACACGGCAAGGGAATCATCTCATTCATCCCGATTTGACTCACACCAGTTGAATCACGATCGATATTAGTCTGTTTTTGGTTTTTTTTTCCTGAAATTCTGAGTCGTCTCTTTCGTTTTATGAAAGAGCCTCATTCAATATACACCCAACTTCATCTATACATGTACCGTTCGGTACAGATGTTGAATAAACTTCATTCAATATACACCCAACTTCATCTATACATGTACCGTTCGGTACAGATATTGAATAAACTTCATTCAATATACACCCAACTTCATCTATACATGTACCGTTCGGTACAGATATTGAATAAACTTCATTCAATATACACCCAACTTCATCTATACATGTACCGTTCGGTACAGATATTGAATAAACTTCATTCAATATACACCCAACTTCATCTATACATGTACCGTTCGGTACAGATGTTGAATAAACTTCATTCAATATACACCCAACTTCATCTATACATGTACCGTTCGGTACAGATGTTGAATAAACTTCATTCAATATACACCCAACTTCATCTATACATGTACCGTTCGGTACAGATGTTGAATAAACTTCATTCAATATACACCCAACTTCATCTATACATGTACCGTTCGGTACAGATATTGAATAAACTTCATTCAATATACACCCAACTTCATCTATACATGTACCGTTCGGTACAGATTAATGTTTTTCGTTGATATGTTTCAACAAACAACTATTTCCATCTTGTTTGTTGCAAAATACTTTCAGCTCTCCAGTAATATTTGTACACTCCACGCAAACCATCCGGGCCAATTTGTCGCAAACACAGCACCTCTTCCTTTTAATGACCTGGTTCTCAAGCAACCTCAACGGCTTGTACTGTAGACGCATCCTGTCTACTCTCATGTCTGAATTAGAGTGCAGTAGCCACATTTTGCTGTTGTACTTGTCCTTGAACCGTGTTTCTTCTGCCATGTCCATATAACCTCCCCTTGGAGACAAAAGAAAATCTCTTGCCTCTTTCAACTCCTCTGCTGTCTCTATTACACCTTGATGTTCACGTTGTATCCCCTTGTCGGGATGGAGTTTGAGGACCCTGCGACGAAAAGCCTCCTTGATTTCTAACGCAGAATGCTGTCCTGGGTATTCCAGTTGTAGTAGAAGGTGGTAATATGCAGACTTGTACTCAAACTTGACATTGTATGTCATTTGAGATGCCGGGTGTTTTTAAAAAATGACTATGACAGAATCTCTTGATACACTGAACTATATCTAAAAAAACTACCCCTATCTTTCGGAAACTGGGGAATCCTTTTGTCGTATAAAGGATCAACATAAAAAGACTGTATCCTGTTACTGAGTTTTTTTAAGAGGAACAATGCTGTCACCTTGGTATGTGTCCAAACCTCCAACGATGCAATACAACGGAAAACCACCTGCACCAACGAGGCTGATACAAGATCCTTCAAGGAATAGGGGAAAAGCAGAGAGTTCTGCAAACACACGGCAGAGATTGCAGTTGCTTGCGGCTATGATCAGTCCTTTTCTTGTTGCAAGTATAGAGAAGATCAAGCAATGGTTGCATCGTTTCAGGCGTAAGACGATGACACTGGAGGAACTGCAGCAAGGGGTTCATGGCATGATGACGGAAGTACGATCTTTGATGGATTCTGTTCCGTTTTACATCGAGTCGCTGCAAGACAATATAATCCCACAGCTGAAGACGGTTGAATACCGTTTGATGGCTCTTGAAGATAATATTTCTGTTCATCGCCAGACTCGGAGGATTGCTGGGGGGATCATGCGGCCATTGAATGAGATGAACTCTGAGGAGTTTGATTATGTACAGAGGAAAGATATGGAGGATCGTCTTAACTTTCTAATTGAGTCATTGAATATGATCAAGTACACAATCAGGTGATGCGATGATTCTAGCTTTTGTCAGTGTGTTTTATTGATTTCGAATACTTTACAGGGGGGATCTGAACCAGTATATCGCGGTCATTCATCCGGGGAAGGATGGACAAATGGGAGTTGGCATTCCCTCTGTTGGCTACAGCAAGGCTGCGGCTGCTTATGTCATGCCAGTTCTGGGCGTGGTACCGTCAGTGATATGTCCGGGCCCGGTATTCTACTCTCCGAGTACCGGGGGGTACCGTCACTGAGATGTCCGGGCCCGGTATTTTACTCTCCGAGTGACGCCGGGTGGTACTGAGATGTCCGGGCCCGGTATTCTACTCTCCGAGTACCGGGTGGTACTGAGATGTCCGGGCCCGGTACCCTACCCTCCGAGTACCGGGTGGTACTGAGATGTCCGGGCCCGGTACCCTACCCTCCGAGTACCGGGTGGTACTGAGATGTCCGGGCCTGGTACCCTACCCTCCGAGTGACCGGGTGGTACTGAGATGTCCGGGCCTGGTACCCTACCCTCCGAGTGACCGGGGTGGTACTGAGATGTCCGGGCCTGGTACCCTACCCTCCGAGTGACCGGGTGGTACTGAGATGTCCGGGCCTGTAGTACCGGGTCCGAATACCCACGAACCCGGAGGACGGGTACTACACCTCTTCATTCCACGTGTGGGGTCCAATTACCATATATCCCATGGGTGGGTACAAAATGTACCGGTACTGTCTCATACAATTGACTCTAATAATAGGGTGGGTGGTCTCCCACATCAATTCCAGGGGGTGGGGTCATTGGGTTATCGCTTCCCTATCCATGGCAGACGAGCCATGTCCCAAGCGTCAATGCGGAGGCTTGTGCGATGCATCCTCCTCTGCCTCAGGTGAGACAATGCCTCCTGTTGAATTTTTGACATTTCCTGTTCAAGATACAAGATCCGGGGGTCAAGATCATGAGGATTCATCTCAACTTCGCGTCAACAATGTTTTCGATTGTTTGCCGAATGATGTTGGTCGTGTGACGAGGTCTCGTAATCGGGTCTCAGCTGAGGGTAATGATCCTGTATCTCAAGCTTCTTCATGTGTCGACGACTTTCCGACGCCTTCTAGTTTGAGAGAAAGCGCGCATTTGCTAACAGAAATACAACAGGGAGTCGATCTGCTTCGACAGCGGCTGCAACATAATCCACTGGCGACTGCTGCTCGGAGCTCAACTTCGCAAGGGTCTGAGAGATCTATTTCCCGATCTGTTGTTGGGGACTCAGCTGCTAATGGTGCAATCTCCCGACCTGTTGGTGGGACTTCAACTAGCAATGGCCCAATCTCCCGACCTGTTGGTGGGACTTCAACTGCTAATGTCCCAAGCTCCCGACCTGTTTCTGGGACTTCAACCGCTAATGGCCCAAGCTCCCGACCTGTTTCTGGGACTTCAACCGCTAATGGCCCAAGCTCCCGACCTGTTTCTGGGACTTCAACTACCAATGTCCCAAGCTCCCGATCTGTTTCTGGGACTTCAACTAGCAATATCCCAAGCTCCCGACCTGTTTCCGAGACTTCAACTGCTAATGACCAAAGTTCCCGACGAGTTGCTAGGACGTCAACTGCTAATATCCCAAGCTCCCGACCTGTTGCTGGGACGTCATCGATTGCTCTTCAGAAAAAGTCAGACGAGTTCAGGGGTAGGGATTCAGAGATTTGTGAGCTGAAAAATGAGAATGAGGCGCTGCAAGGAGATCTCAAGAAAAAGGAGACAGAGCTTGGTCGGCTCAGAGATGAGATCAGAACTCTGCAATTTCATTATGACAGGTTGCAAGAGAAATATGATCAATCCCAGGACAATTTGGACAAGCTGCAACGTGATTTAGACAACCTGCAACGTGACTATGAAGATTTGGAGGATGAAATGGAAGATGTTCGTGCTGTTAATCTGGATTACCAGGATACGAGAGCAAATACAGAAAATGTCCTCAAGGAACTTCGCGTGCAGAAAGCCAAGCTTGAGAGGGAAAAGCAAGAGCTTAGGACTGAAAGAGACACTTTGTTCCAAAACCAGATGCAACAATCCGAGATCCAAATGATCGGCAACAACAAGATCAAAGAGCTTAAAGGGGAGAATGAATCGCTTAAAAGAAAAGTCGAAGAGATCGAAAATGAAGTAGAGGACAATGAGACATGTGTAATCTGCAAACGCAAGGTGAGCAGCTTGTATCTGGCGGCTGTATGTATCACAAAGTACAAAAGTATCTTCTGAAATGACATTTCCTCTGATAGGTTGCAAAACATGTCTTCATGACTTGTGGACACGCTGCGACTTGCCTGTAATTATCATCCATGTATTTTGTTCAACATGACCTGTTTGACACTGTATTGCAGTGACGAAGAATGCAACAAAGAGTTTGAACAATGCCCAGTGTGCAGGAGTGAAGTCCAAAAGTTGCAAAGGTATTCATCATATTCTATGGATTGAACTCCTTGTAAACAAATTTTCAGGGTCTACATTACCGGAAACAGGAATGAAAACTCTGCACTGATCAAAAAACTCACTGCAGACCTCTTGGCTGCTCAAGGACTCGAACAAGATCTTGCCAGAGCTCAGGAGGATATCAAGCAGAAGGAATTGAAGATCAATGATCTTGAACAAAAACTTGCCAGTGCTCAAGTGGGTATTCAACAGATTGAAAAGTGTGCACAGAAAGTCATGAGCTCCCCTGGACAAAGATCTGGAGCTGGATCTGGAGCAGGATCTGGAGTTGGATCTAAAGCTAGAGCTGGAGCTGGAGCTGGAGCAGACTTTCACGTCCAGGATTCTAACTGCATGCTACTTTCACAGTACTTGCAAGAAGCCAAAACCTCATGGAAGCCAAAAATTGGTGCAAAGCTTCAAAGGTGGTGCAAAATATGCAAATCATCGGGTGCTTCCTACGTTTGTTTGATGTGCTCTCCTTTGGATTCTGATTCAATCCCAATCTGTTTTTGTCATGGAGGTACAGCATATTATACATGAACCCAAAGATCAAAACTGACGATTTTTTTGTCACAGGCACAAAGCAGTGTATGCAACAACACATCAAGTCAGATCATCCCTGATCATTTTTGCTTTTCGCTTGCATTGAAATAAAAGTATCTTCAATCTCTCTCTCTCTATCTCTCTCTCTCTCTATCTCTCTCTCTCTCTCTCTATACGTGCATCATTTCCTGATCATTGGCATTGTCTTGATTCTTTTGGCAATACTTCTTTTGATTCATCACAAGATCAAGCACTCTATATTAGGCGAGGATTACATCCCCGACCCCCATAGGCAGTGGTTCCAACCGGAAGATGTATGCAATACACACTGCGCACATGAGAAATGGGTAGTTTTGTTTATCGTCGTCGGATGCTGTTTGATTGTATTGGAAACTACCCAACTCTACTAGAAATCCGAGTCTTCTCAAATTTTGCGACAAATCGCACAACCAGGAAACTGTCAAAGTAACACAAAATGTGAGAAGGCATCACATGGACTAAGGCAGCAATGAATCACCTTGTTTTTGCATACATCACAGATGTGATACCTGTGATCACATCGCCCATTGTCATCGACACAAGGCTGATTCATCTGAAAAGTAAAATTAGAGAGATCAACAGATAAGTCAGATATGTCAAAGACTCGCCTTCAGACAATAATGACATGCTTTGTCATACATGAGAAAACGTTGGAGCTCAAGTCGAAGATGAATCAATGCATTGTTCAAAATGGTGCTTCTTTCGCGTTCCAGTCGGGATGTCTGTTCGCATTCAACCTGGTATTTGACGAGCTTTTCATTCTCCATAGCTGCATTGACCCTGAAATCACGGAACTCACCCCTTGTCTGCATGAACTTGTCTTTCCACTTTGCAATCTCCTGCTGTGACTTGGCTCTCTCAGACAAAAGGCTTTTTTCAACAGCTTCGATGTCACGCTGGGACTGTTCAAGTGCCTTTCTAAGCTGCTGGGTCTCTTTAGCACTCTGCATTGCCTCAATCTTGGCGTTTTGGACTTGCAACTGTAAGCGTTTGACAGAATCCTCTTCCTGTAAAAGTTTCCTCCGTATTTGTTCGAGTTGGGTCTCGTGAACATGCTGCTGGATGCTTGCAAGGGGTTCGAAATGCTGTATCCCTGTCATCCCTGTCTCTCTACCACTCCTACCCCACTGTCTAGCTGCAGTCATAGAATAAAAGCCTCCAAGCTCTGGGTCATCAGTAGGCATCGAGAGTGCATCCTTGCGAAGGAGCTTTGGACGCTTCAATACAGCATCCAATGTCGGCGAAGAACAAGTGGTGGGATTACGATTCAAAGCCAAAGCCGTAGTAGCACGATTGAAGAAACGCTCTCCAAGCTTGAATTGGGCAGTATCAATGTCGTAACCTCGCTTGAAATACCGAATCTCCTTCCTGTTATCAATGCTTTTGAAGACAAGTGAATAGCTCTCAACAATCCAATCCAATAGCCTCTTCAATTGATCACTACAAACAAAGCTCATGGCTCGGGGATTGAACCAATAGTCACCACCTTCACATGTGCCGTCAACAACAATCTGCAGTTTCTTCAATTGATCGTCAGGCGTCAAAATGAGATCCGAAGAAACAAGTTTTCGCTTCCGGTTTCTATCGACAAGACAAATACCACTTGATGTCAAAAGAGAATCATGCACATCCAGGACAAAATCCAAAACTCGGTCCTTGCATCTCACAACATTGTCAGAAGGGATTCGCAGGGTCTGCATCCTCACAACATCCTTGATTCTCCCATTCTGCACAAGCTCAGCATCCACATTGATGTCCAAGAAAGAAGATGATAGAAGACTCGTTATAGAAACAACAGCAGTGCCCTCATATTTCAATCTCGTATCGTTGATCTCAAACTTCTTCGAACCATTGCCGTGCTTCCCTCTCATCGAGCTCAATGGAATGTCGTCATTCAAAACTTCTTTGGGGTCAAAAACAATCAAAGGAACACTCAAGCCTGAATCATAAGAATCATTACTATGATCCTCGTTGCAAATGTTCTCATCGTCCGAGTCAACAATGACAATAACCTCAGAATCCTTCGACATGGCCAGCAAATACGAAAAATCTATAGAATGGTCGAAAATTTCTCTGAAAAAAACACTTCAAACTAGTCAGAAACAACAAAAAACATTCATCGCGATCATAACCTTTCCCTATGCGCGTCGAAAATCAGCTGCAGCTATCACTCCCGCGGCTCCCCCTCCTTCCCCTGCCACAAATGCGATCGCATCGTCCTAGCTCGGGATATCACCCCACCCACCCATGCACACTCATATTACTACCCCCACCCCCTAATCGCAGCCTAACCCACAACACCCCTGTAGTGTGTCTCCAGCTACTACCCTACCCTACACCGAGATATATGACCCCACCCACTCATGCACTCTCATATTACTACCCCCACCCCCTAATCCCCACTCTAACACACCACTCTTACTACTCTCCAGTTACCACCCTACCCCCACATCACAGAACAGACCGCAATCCACCAGAGCCGGTCGGTACCGTGCCGGGCCCGGACTTCTCAGTACCACCCGGTCACTCGGAGGGTAGGGTACCGGGCCCGGACATCTCAGTACCACCCGGTCACTCGGATCATTTGCCTCTAAAACTGAAGGTCAAAGTACTAAATATCAGTCAATTTTTAGGTTCTTTCTACCCTGCTTTCAAGCTATCTTGCATCCTTTCATGACAGCATTTCTCCTAAAACGGACATTGGATTCAAACCAGCACCAAGGTCAAGGTCAAGGTTAGGTCAACCCATAAAGCCCCCTATTGAAGACTGCGATCTCGCCATACCGATTTGAATCGATTTGGTAATATTAAGATTCTTGGGGGATTAGAACAAACGCCTAAAGTCCCCGGACCCGGGAAAGGGGTCAAGGTTGGAGTAGAGAGATCTATTTTTGAAAAGCAAGAATGAATTCTAATCATCTATGTATGGCTTTGCTTATGTGCGGTTTGATAGCTTTGTTATCCAGATTGGAATCTCTTCCACAGCATGATGCGCGCTTGTTGACAAATTTTCGATTCCCAAAGTTTTCGAACATATCTACCTCCATTGCAAACCCATGCTTCCACGAAAATGATGTTTTCAATTTCTCTACCATGAGTGTTGAGGGAATTCGGAAAATCTATGTTATTCACTGGAGTAAACTTGCGAATCGCAGGAAGTCTATGAGAGATCGTTTAAGTACAGTTTTGCCAGCGGGATGGGAGCAAAAAAATTTTGTTGCCTTCATTACGCAGTATGACAGCGATAGGGTTACTCATCAAGACGTTCTCTGTCATGCAGGCTCATATGCTAACCAACAAAAGAAGGGACAGTTTTCTGTAACAATGAAACACCATGTGGCATATTATGATGTATGCTTTCATCAATATGGTATCGTGCTAATCGTTGAAGATGATGTCCAGTTTGCCCCAGATTTTGTGCAAAAAGTGTCTTTTGTACTGAAGGCATTGCCTGCTGAATGGTCGAACTGTTTTGTTTCGGCCTGTATGCCTGTACATTGCACGAAGTTGGCATGTTTACAGCACAGGGGCTCTGGGTCTAACTGTGCATATGGATATTTGATGTCATTGACGGGTAGCAGATTAATGCTGCATCATATGCCAATTTTTACCACACCTGATTTCCAGATGAATCACGTATCCAACATGACCAGCCTTTTTCATAGCTATAATTCGGTTTTTCATCGTTTGATTGTCGAGCAGCCGGACGGAACAGATGGTATATGGAAACGAGATGGACAAGAGCTTCACATTCTTTCTTAAAAATTGTTTTTTTAAGCAAGTAATTTTCGTGATGTTTGAAAGGGGTATGAATGAAATGAGAAAAGTGTTTGGGGGCTCAGGACGAGGGAATTTTGGGGCCAGGACGAGGGAGTCAAGGGGAGGGATTTTCAGGACAGAGTCGTCCGTTGATTTGTCTTTGCGAGCAAGTTTACTTAAGTACGCCAAAGCCTGAGAGACTGTGCCCGATCTGAGTGTCTGAAATCTGCACTGGATCAGGGTATGAATGAAATGAGAAAAGTGTTTGGGGGCTCAGGACGAGGGAATTTTGGGGTCAGGACGAGGGAGTCAAGGGGAGGGATTTTTTTCAGGACAGAGTCGTCCGTTGATTTGTCTTTGCGAGCAAGTTTACTTAAGTACGCCAAAGCCTGAGAGACTGTGCCCGATCTGAGTGTCTGGGGGCACTTTGTCCCACACTCTTTATTATTCCTCGCAAGATAATCGTGGGAAGCCACAGTCTGGGCCGATCGATGCCCATGTTCCAGCCTCTTAAGGACATGTTGTGGAATATCTCCGCAAGGCACTTGGAATAGTGGTTTCGTCGGTTTCGCCATGGTTTCTGCGGCTTCAGGGTCTAGCTGACAATTGCGATTTGTACCAGATCAAGGCGTTTTCCAGTACAAAATTGTGTGAGTAAAAAATACAAGAATTTGAAGGTTTGAAATTCCATTTCCACGCTTCTGTGTGCCATGTCCTTTCCCATCCCGCTGGAATTTCAAACTCTGAAACCACGATAATGAGTTGACAAGTACTGTATTTCTCAGTTTGAATGTGAGAGGACAGATGATTCATGGAATGCAACTAATTGTTTAACTTTATGGATACGAATAGTATGGCATAGGCAAATGACTGTCATTTTACTTCTCAATGATACATCGATCCACACGATCACATCTGTCTGATGCACTCCTCTTGCTGAATAGTAAGAAAAAATGGCTGAACTATGCACCGATGGATTGAATTTCACATGTAATCATACCTGGCAACAAGTCACTGTATCGCTCTTTGAAATGGGACTCACCAACAAGATGTCATCTTCGATGATGCACACCTTCATGGTGACTGTGGTCTAGAACTGCTTCAAAGTTGACATGGGAATATGTAGCGGCCTAGGTGATGTTTTCAAGGTACTTCAATAAAACAAGCCAAGTTGCCGCAACAACGACATCATCATGTTGAATCGCAGTCTGCAAGTTGCACGCGCGGGGCCCGCAGCTCTCGATTGAGCCTAAGTCTTTGTAGGTTCCGACAGGACAGGGAGAGCAGGCCTGCCCATTCCTGCCGAAGTGACCGTGGGTGCAGCGGCATCCTGTGATATTCCCTGTATGATTATCACTGGTTGTGTTATCGGGACACTTCTGGCAGTCGCTCACTGCTACAGCTGTCAGATCCTCCGAGTACGTTCTCGGGCCCTGCGGGCCCGCCTCAGTATATATATGAGTCGGATGACACAAGAAGGTATCAGATCAGTCTAGATGGTGCCAGGAAATTCATTTTATCTCTAGGATTAAATTCATCTTTAGGTTGCTCCCATATTTTTACATTGTACTTTTTCTGAATGTATTCCTTATCTTGGTCGTTATTGTAGATATCTTTCATATCTCTAATAAAGTATTCCAGGTCATATTCAAAATTATTTCCGTTACGCTTATAAGTTTCAGGAGTTTTGTTGTCGAATAAAACTAATGCAATCCAGAGCATGACATTGGCAACGTGTTTCAACAATACCATTTTCGACGTAATCTCAGATCGAATTGTAAGGTATTCTGTCTCTTTGGGATCGTCTTCCTTTTCGCTCAACTCTGCAATCTCATTTTTCAAGGTATAGAAATCCCTTTCAACATAGCTCAATTTTTTCGTCATTTAGAAGGTTGCCTTTCTTTACATAAGATTCCAATTTATCTTTGAGCGTTGCACTCTCTTGGTCGCGTATTGAGGTTTCGATCGTGTTCGGCAGTACTTTCAAATTCTTTAACATCCTGATAGAACCCCGATTTTTCCACGGTTCTCCCGCGGCCGCCCCCTCCCCTGGCGCACCAATCTCAGGGATGAATGCATCTCGGTTCTCTGCCATGCCATCCCCGTCCTCTGCCAAACCATCCCCGGTCCCCTCCTCGAAATAATTATTGAACTCATACTGGATGTCCTCGTCATAGTATGCCTCGTCCCACAGCCCGTCGTCCTGGATCCCCGCGGCGCGGAGGACGCTGGGGGGGAAGCGGAGGACGCCGTCGTCGCGGTCTGCGAGCTCGCCCCACTCGGCGAGCTGCTCGAGGGACTCGTGGAGGAGGTCCATGGTCTCCTGCTCGATCTCTCCTTTGGACGGTGTCGGCGTTTCATCGGAATGGCAGTCGTTGTTGGGAATAGAAGCCGAGTGGAACACCACCTGGACTCCATCGTAATCGATGGCTTCTTCGGGGTGAGATCCAGACGGCAGGTGGTTTACTGCGCCGTGCATCCTGCCCCTCCAGGCATCGCGGGCTCTTTTATACGGGGGAACCGTGCGGATAACCGTGTATTTAAGTTCGTGTGGCGGAGGGACAGATACGCTGGTCTGGAGGCAAGCTCGGAGGAGGAATGGAAACCCCCTGTCAAGATGTCCAGGGCGAGCGCGAGGAAGTAGATGCGCGTCCCGTGTGTGTGTTTGGTATTAAATTACGTAATTTACTCGTTAGGTACCGCTCATTGAGCCTACTTCTCCGAGATGCTTTCCATGAGCCACGCGACCTCCGGAGTCCTGGTCGGTCCTTTCGGTGTAGGAGAGGAATAGGTAATCATCGTCTGTGTTGTACTTGCGGATGTAGTGGAAAAATTTGTCAGAATCCCAGTCATAGTAGACGTCGGCCACAAAGGTGAACCCGTGCTTGTTGAACACGGGTGCATGTCGGTAGTGGGTCTGGCGAACATAGTACGGGTACCAATGCACCGCCTGGACCGCCATGCTGTGAAGACACTCGATTGCTTCTTCAGAGGGGACGAAGACCTTGTCCGCGGCCTTCGCCTTCTCGAGCGCGACTTCGAGCTTCTTGATGGTCGAGGAGATGCTGATCTTCTTCTCTTTGGTGGTTGTGGCATCGAGTTTTTCTTTCAACTCGGCGATCTTCGAGAGTGCGAAGGTCTCGAACCTCTCGTTGCAGAGGGTGATGGTGTAAGGCGGGCCCTGCGGGCCCGCCTCAGTATATATATGAGTCGGATGACACAAGGAGGTATCAGATCAGTCTAGATGGAGGCCAATGAGCCTCTCCATGACCTCAGATGGAATGTGGGAGGGGATCTGGGGGTATGTTTGCGGTGGGGCTCCCGACGTTATGAGTGTTTTGTAAGGCGGGCCCCGCGGGCCCGCCTCAGTATATGGAGTCCAATGAGCCTCTCCATGACCTCAGATGGAAGGTGGGAGGGGATCTGGGGGTATGTTTGCAGTGGGGCTCCCGACGTTATGAGGTTGTTGCGTCTGTATTCTATTATACTGAATTTATTTGTGCCACGAAAAATGAAGGATTTATATCGTCTACTTGTTCGAATCAATAGAATGAAACGCTTTTTCAGTGAAATACAATCACCATATACTGTCACAAGTGATATGTTGAAGCTTCATGCTAAAAACCTCAAGCATGCAAGTCCATCTTTGAAAGATGATAGTGTTGTCAAAGTGAAAACCTGAAAAAGTTACAATGTGATAAAGATACAATTCAATTTGTGTCTGACAATTTGAAAGATGATTCTGATGTTGTCATATAAACTGATGTCCCTTTGCAAGTAAAGTATCGTTGCTGTGTGGTACGCCTCTCCCAAATCATCTCATCCTCTAGCTCTCAAATTCTACTCCACAGAGATGTATTTAAATGTCGATAGGATGAACCTTGTAAGCAAGATGCCTTTCATCCAGAGTATCTTTGACTCAGAACAGATCAAACACCAAGACCCTGCTTTGCCAGAGGGCCCCCGCGTAAGTCAGAGGGTGGGGGACGCGGATACACAACTGTCCCGCAATGTGCGCCGTCGGACGGAGTCTGAGGCGGAGTTCATCCACGGCCTGGATTGTAACTGTCGAGTGAATATGGAACATTTCTGGTTACAGGGCCACCATCACTGTTACCAACCGGTAGCAGCTCCGCAACAAGATGAACCTCCTGACGGAGTCTAACGACACATGCGGGATATCTGTGCTCCATGTTAACGGCATGCGTTTGAGTTGGCCGCGTATTACAAGATCCTGGGGATGAAGCGATCAGCGGGTGAAGCAGGACTTCAGAGAGCAGTGGTCGGATGGAGGCGATATACGCTGCACGAGCCAAGGCTGTGTCGTTGGCCCATCCTGGCGTCTTTCTTGACGCCCCGAACTTCCCTTACCTCAGAGAACATGCCAAGCAGGAGCTGGACCCCGCCAAATACGATGAAAAATACATACGATGAAAAATACATAACTTGCACGGTTTCTGACTTAGCGCAAGTACGAGGAGGGTGACAAAATCCAAACTTGGCTGGGAGAGGTCGGAAACAAGCCTAGATAAAGGGCCTGACATGGGAATGGTCGCGTGAGCAACTTCATATCACCCTGAGGCGGGCCTGATTGCATAGACCTGCTGTGTTTCCGGACCAACCACTTCCACCAGTAAAGTCAACATTCGCTCCACCAGTTGTATCCACATGTCCTGCGATTATCTTTTACCAACCTCCATGAAGGTAAAGCAAATTCAGCACCATATGTCCAGCCATGTTCAGCACCCAGTCCCACGAGCATTTCACGTGCGGCGGTCGAAAAATCTCTGTTGTTTGTACTCTTCAGGTAACAAAGTACATATGTGGAATACAAAAGCATCACTAGTCCCTTGGATACACGAGAATTTAATGCGAATTGTGCTACCTTCACTTCCGCGTTTTACGTGAGTGAAGATAACTTTGTCAGTTACAGTTACATTCATCAGTGAGTGAAGATAACTTTGTCAGTTACATTCATCAATGTAAGCTATTTCATCCCTGAGAAACAAGCCAATTTGTGCTGCAACTGCCCCAAATCCTGATGGAGATAGTATCACAGCATCACTCAGAGCTAACAACATCGTATCAACCCATGAACCTAGGCTCCCAGACACGGAATTGGACCTTCCTCTATCTGTGTGGTATGGAGGGTACTTCGAGACGTAGGACATGTTTGGAAACTGTGATTGGAATAGTTGTTTCAGAGCATTACTGTCTGATACGAGGACAGTAACGAACTGTTGAAATTTCAACTTGCGTGCCAAGTAAGACGCACATACCATGACACGGCGTCCTATGTCTGCCAAGGTACCTTTCACCCGATGATCACTTCCAACACCCATTGCAATGTCTCCTATCCGAATATGACATGCGATAATCGACCTTGATTGCTTTAGGGTGTTGAGTGAACGAACTTCACCCAAGACTGCGTTCGTGAGTTCATCATTGAGAGAAAACAGGTGCCAGAAAGTACATCCAACCATATGATAAGTTCCTCCATAGACATGATAGCCGTTAGTTATTGGAGCAGATGAATCTTCAAAGTACAGAGCACTAGTCAGGTTGGTTTCATTCGTTCCACAATCCATTTGTAGAGCATCCATGTTTGAGTACAAGCGAATGTTGTCAAATTGTTTCCAGTTGAGCCCCAAAGGCTTTCTACTATCCATTATGTGAACATCAGCTGCCCTCATCTGTGAACCCGGCTTAGCAAGCCATGATACACTTGGACGTTGTACGAAGAATCGACTGATGGGAACTGGGTGTGTCCAATCCAACAACAAATCGTATCCCATACAAAGAGAAAGATACATTGCATGAGCAAGCCCACGAAGTCTGTCACCATTGCCTCCGCAAAACGATTTGCATGCCCAAATCAGATTCCGTCCATTGCTCCATCTGGACCTGTGCTTCTGGAATATATCATGCCACCGACGGAAATGGCATTTGTTTGAAATGTTTTGCATTCGAATTTTGACCGTTTGTGGTAGAATTCTCCACAATTGCATTGCCAAAATAGGTGATCCTCCGACCAAAGGTATTGCGCTCTGTGGAAACTTGACCACATTTTGCTTAATCGACACAGATAAGTTGTAATTGATCAAACAATCGTGCAGAGAGGTCAACTTCAAGTTATAGTCAGTGAAATTATACCGAGCATCTTTTAACCAAGGAAAGATAATAACGGAAATAGCAATCCATGCAACAAAGCAATGTTGAGACTGTCGCATAGTTCATCCAATCATAGTTTTGTCTTGCCCCAGTGGGTATAGAAAAGCAGGGAAGAACAAACTGCGACGATTAATGAAATCTGGGTTGGATTCTACGATTGGGATGTTTTGAGATTTTCAAAAAGGTACAGGAGCAAAGGGGAAAAAAAACAAGGGCGACATTTAGGGGCAGGGTTGACAGCCTTTACTCAATTCTAACCCGCTCCCGGTACCCCCCCCCGTACAGATCGGTACCGGGTGCCTTGCGGCCCGTCCGTTGCGACTTGTCCCACTTTCAAACCCGCCCCGCATGCCCCATGGCGGCGACGCCCGCCGCCTCCCCCCCCCACCGTGACAGCCGCCGGTTGCATCCCCTGCCCCATCCCGGCTGCCATGCTCCTCTCCCCCATGATGGACTCACCATGCAGTGTCTCACTCAAGGGTCGTCTTCAAGCGTGCGGTCTCTCTGAGTCACGGAGGCTTGACGGTTGCCTTCCCATGATCATCCCGGATCAGGCCCAACCTCGTGGCAGTGAGACACCGACGCTTCTGGACCATGCGATGCTTTTCGACGCTTTTCGACAACATCTACTTCGACTGACACATTGTAAACTATACTACTATGTATAAAGAGACACCCGGGAATCCTTCAGTGCCCCATATCATGCCACAACTTGATCCGTCTATGTCTTGATGTCAACATTCGGCATCAAACCTCTCACCCGCCTCCTCCCGCCACATGTGACGCATGGCCTGAGACGTGCGTCCCAGTCTTCCATCCCACCTGGGAGCGTTGTTCCCATTCACCGTGTCATTGGCTTGCCATCCTGGCAAGCATTGTCTCGGAAGTTGAACGGTCACCTACCATTCATAACATAGCGTTGTCGCTCTCAACTGACCCCTCTGGTTTCCAATAGTTTTCTGTGGGGGTATCCTTCCACACATGTGAATAGCAAATGGCAGTTGGGGTCTGGGGTGGGTCAGACGGCTTGGAGCTGATTCAAATTGGTTGGGACCTGTTTAAGGGGGTAGGGTACTTCCTGGTAGCAAATAATTGTACCAACAGTACCAATTTTATGGTACATATTCGAGTACTGTTAGGAAAACTTGTACCAAAATAGTTTATGTGGTACCTCCCCTGTTCAAACTATGATGCTTTGGACCCACCTGTTTCCCAGTGAAAGTCCCTTCTCCGATGGGGTCAAGTTTTGGACCCTACCCTGCCTCCGACCAACATAGACCACCCTTGTAGATCAGAGGGAGCTCTCAAGCCTTGCCCCTTCCCTTCCCTGGTTGCATATCCAAGGTTAGCAAGTGAATGTTACGCAGACGTGACTCATCTGCAGCAGGAGAGCTCAGACCAGGACAAGCAGATTCAATCCCTGCAGAATCTGGTGTGAGCGCAGCAGTCTGAAAACATCTCTGTGATTGCAAACACATGTAAAGAGGGTTGATCATCATAGATTTTAGCAGCTTGAATAAGGAGTACTCCGCACGGACCGTCCGCTAGTGGCGCTGTACGATGGATGACATTGACTCTCATGAGCAATAAGTAGGAAGTCATGAAGCATGTCACGGAGACAGCATGATCTATACTTATTTCATAGGAATCTGCTGCAAAGAGTCGGGCTTGAGGGCGGTCTGAGCAAGATGCAAGAGTATTGCCAAGGCATGTAAAGAGTTTCAAGGAATACCAGTGCATTCATCAAATGGCAGTGATGAGGTACCACATGAAGGCATGACTTGCAAATTGATTGCATGTCGTGTTCTATTTCATGACTTACAATCAAGACGCTTTGAGCGACAAAACGATACCCCTTATAGCATTGTAAATCATATTTCATTTCCTTCACCTCGAGTCGAAGCAAGAAATTTTCAAGGTGCTGATATCTTTGTTGTGACTAGACTGACATGGTATCAGGAGCAATTAATTGATGTTGGATCCGATTGAATCATGCAGACGAAAATGGACATACCCTTTTGAATAAATCTTTCTTCTCGAGTCTCATACCAGAGCTTTCTTGCCTCTTTCTTTGTAACCTAACATGTACAAAGCATTGGCATTTTCTTACACAAAGTAAACTGAGCCTGACCAGCTTCTATTCGCTGCATTCTCGCCCTTCCATCATCCTGATCTTTTCCTCGCTTGACACCCTTGGGCCAATGCGAGTTGCATGCTGCGATATCATCAATTGTTTGGAACCAAGCGATAAGTGGAACAAAGCGCTCAGGTGCTATGCAGGCTGCAATGCATCGCCGGCATTCCAACCATATGGATAAGTTTGCCAACTTTGCGCTGCTCATATTACTTGCAGCGAAAGTCAACCATTCCAGATGATAAGGACAATGTATGAGACTTGCGCAGAAGAATGTGCAAACACTTCCACACGACGGTGAGTGTGCACGATTCCACATACACAAGAATGCTGCGCAGAAGTATCTACCAATTTCTTGTCTAACCACTCTTTTGATGAATGAGCATCGACTTCTCTAACATGTACATCAGGTCATGCAGGCTCATGGAGAAATGATGATGTTGTTAGCAACAACTTGGCTTTGTTTTATTGAAGTACGTTGAAAACATCACCTAGGCCGCTACATATTCCCATGTCCGCTTTGCAACAGTTCTAAACCACGTATCACCATAAAGTTGTACATCATTCGACTAGTCCGATAACATCTTCATGTAGAGTCTCAGTTTCAAGCACAACGCGGTTTGGAGCGATACTGTGACTTGTTTGCCTGGTATGATTACATGTGACATGCTCTCTTACACAATTGAAGAGTATTGTAGAAAATTCAGTCAAGCGGTGCACAGTGCAGCCTTTCTTTCTTGCTATTCATCAAACATAGTGTATCAAACAGATGTCATCGTGTGGATCGACGCAAAATAAAGATGAACTCGAAGTTCTGTCTGAAAAATGACCCTTTGCAAGTACTGATGGATCGAGAGCAAGTTCTTGATGCTGTATCATTGAGAAGTAAAATGACAGTC